TGTTTACTATTGTGGGATGAGTGTTAAGGGGAAGAGAGGAACTTTTTGTTTAACTTGATGGGTTTTATCTTTTTCCTTTCCTTTCACAGGTAAACCCAAATACTGGATATATTGACTATGACAAACTGGAAGAAAACGCCCGCCTCTTCCACCCCAAGCTGATCATTGCAGGTAATTAGTTAGATCACTTCTTAATAGAACCATGACGTGATTAAGCTCTCTCCAGTCCCATGTGACTGCTGAGGCTTTTCCTTGGTTTTACCTAGTCCCTTGAATCTGAGCGTACTCTTGCCTTCGTTCTTGCCTGGAGCTATTAGGTTTCCTGCAGATTCCTCAGAAATCTAGAGGAATTTGGAGCCCAGAGGCCCAGTAGGTTAAATCCTGGGGAGATTTTCATGACTGAGATGAAATGTGTCATTACTTCCCATCAAGAGCAACATTGTGGATGAAGGAGTGGAGCGGCTACCTTTAGTAATGGTAGATTACTGGAGGTCTGAGGATTTAGTAAGGGGGAGTATTCTCACTGCTTTGTCCAGTCTTCCATAATCTTAGTGCCTTCTCTTTATTGATTATCTCCGGTTTATACTGTGTATATCTTGTTTGTATATAATTATTTGCATGTTGTCTCCCTGATTAGACCATGAGTTGTTTGGGACCTGGGACTGTCTGTTGCCTTTCTTTGTATCCCTAGAGCGTAGCATGGTGTCTGGAATGTGCTGTTGTTCAGTCGTTTCAGTCATGTCTGATTCTTTGTAACCCTGTTTGGGGTTTTCTCAGCAAAGATGCTGGAGTGGTTGGCCATTTCCTTCTCAAGCTCATTTTACAGATAGGGAAACTGAGGCAAACAAAGTTAAGTGACTTGCCCAGGGTCACACAGTAAATGTCTGAGGCCAAGTTTGAACTTAGGAAGATGACTGCAGGCCCAGTGCACTATCCACTGCACCACCTAGCTGTCCTTATCTGGTATATAGTAAGTGCATAATAAATGCTTGTTGACATCAGATCATAACAAATATTGGGCATCGCCTGTAAAATTCAGTTCAAGTTAGCTTACGTTTATTAAGCCTCTACTCCCTACAAGACAGAAAATGAAATGAAACAGTCCTTGCCCTTAAGGAGATTACATTATACTTAGGAAATAAAATAGATAGGGATAAGTATATATAATTTAAAAGAGGGAACATAGATCAGGAAAGGCCTCGTGTAGAAAGTGGTACCTGAGCTATGTGTTAAGGGAATCCAGGGATTCTGAGAGAGAGATACGTGTGTGTGTGTGTGTGTGTGTGTGTGTATGAATGAATGTGTATATATATTACAGACATGGGGGACAGTCTCTATGAAAACACGGGTTGGAGGTAGGATGTTATATACTGGGAGCAGTGAGGCCATTTTGACTGGGATATAGCGTATGTAAAGGGTAATAACGTGAAATAAGACTAGAGCCATAGTGTGGGAAACTTAAGTAACAAGCTGAGGGTTTAATATTTTATTCAAGAACCAATAAGGAGCCATTGAAGATTTTTGAGTGGTGAGGCGACCTGTTAGATTTGTGCTGTAGGAATATCAGTTTTGCAACTGTATGGATTAGAGAAGAGAGAGGCTGCAAGCAGGGAGGCTTACTCATTGCACTGGCTTGGTTGAGAGGAGATGAGAATCTGAACTAGTGCAAAGGCTGTATAAAATGAGAAATGGGCACAGATGTGAGATAATGGGGAAGGTAATAAGACTTTGCACCTGAAGAGAGATGGGAGGTGAGAGCAAAGGAAAAGATAAGGGTAAGTAATTCTGAGGTTGCCATCCTTGGTGACTGGAAATATGGCGGGACCTTTAACAGAAAAAGGGAAATTTAAAAGGCTAGGTTTAGGTCAGAGAAAACATGAGTTTGAGTCCGAAATGTCTGTAAGATATCCAGCAGACTGTTGGTCATATGGACCTAAAGTTTGAGAGAGAAATTAGGCTTGATATGTTGATTTGAGAGGCATCTGCATAGAATTGTAATTGAACCTGTGGGAACTGATTAGGTAGTCAAGAGGGAATATAAAGAGAGAGCAAGAGAGAGCCTAGGACAGAGTCTTGAGGAATTCCCAAACTTCTAAATCAGAAAAGCATGACAATCTAGCAAAAGATACTCAGAAGGAAAGGGTAGGAGACCAACCAAGAGATAGCAGTGTCAGAAACCAAGTAAGGAGAGAGTATCCAGGAGGAAAAAACTTAGCTGACAGTATCCAAAGTTGTTGAGACGTCAAGTAAGACCTTTGGATTATCAGTGAAGAGACTGGGTAACCTTGGGGTCAGAAGCCAGAAGTGAATAGGAGGGGAGTAAATGGCATATGCATGTAGATAAACTCTTTGGAAATTTGACGATGAGTACTCCATACAAGGAGTATTTGGCTTCTGCTTTCTGGTAGTTCTGAGTCCCCAGTGGCACAGTTTGGGGGGCATTTGGATACTGACAAGAGGGTAGATCTTTTGTACTTGGTAAAAAAAAAAAAAGTTTGAGGACAACTGCCAAGAAAGATCAAGGGAGTGGGGGGAAGAAGGGAGCATGTCTGTAGGTGACCAGGAAGGATTCAATGGATAAGGAAAGATTGAAGGTGAGAGAGAGGAATCAGGGGGGCAGATGCCTGGAGGAGATGGAAGAGGACCGGATTAAGATGAGAGGTAGAGCAGATGACCCTAAGCAACAAGCGACTTCCTTGTTAGATACTGGAGCAGAGGAGGAACAAGTGGGTGATGGGATTGGGTTTGAGATACGGAATGGGGGTGAAGTCAAAGCTGGTGATGGCTGTGATTTTCTAGTAGAGTAGGAGAGGAGAAGGGGGCTTGAGGAGAGAAAAGGTTTGGAGCAGCTGCTGTTTTGAGAGCAGTAGAATCAACCATAAAAGGACATTTGTGCTCTAGTGGGGTTGGATCATTGAGATGGGAGAGCTAAGTTTGTAGTGCATCCAGGTAGAGCTGTTGTGCCTGCAGCATTCAGGACCACATCAGCAGGGCTGTGAAAGTTGGAGATACGATGATGAGCAGCCCAAGGCGTGGTTTGGCGACGCATGAGTGGTTATAGGATAGGGTAAAGGATAGTGTGGAGACAGAAAAGGGAGGATAGTGGACTGGGAATATGGGAAGGTGTGGAGTCCCACGTGAGCTAAGTGAGAATGAAGAGTGGGTCTAGGAGGAGAGAGTATGAGGGGGAGGTGAAAGGATTAGAGGTTGTGATCCAAGGGAAGAATGTTCTGGATCGTGGAGGTTAAACAGGTCATTGACGAGATCAGAGATGACTGAGGCAGAGTGAAGGTGTAAATCTTGGTAATTGTGGTTGATGGACTAGGAAGCCACAGTATTTGAGGTTATATAAAAGAATACATTGACGTCCCAAAATATTTAGGCAAGGGTGGAAGGGAATTCTGTGGGCCAGTTACTGAACTCCTTTGGGAACGGGAGGAGATGATTTGGGGGCTGGTGGTTGTCTGCCCTCAATGTCTGGACAGTGATAGAGCTGGAGAGGGTGAACCTTCAAGAAAGATAGGTGGCAGGGGGGGCGGGGGTTGGCCGAGAGAGCGTGCTCACTCTCCCGTACCCTTGTTGGGCATATCAGAAGAAGCACCCAAACCCCTCATGAGCCTCGCTGGGCTCAGTCTCATCATCTTTAAAATTAACATGTTGGACGAGATGACTTCCGACCCCTGACTTAATTTCCAGTTCTAGTTCTATGATTCTGCGACATGCTATGATAGGATATGAATGAAGTGTACTTTAGAGGGAACCAGCTATATCTGAGTGAAAGAAGATGGAAGGAGTGTGAGACAGAGGATGTAGGAGAGGGAAGCTTGTTTAATAAAAGAACAAGGGTTCTAGTGGGTACAGTGAAAGACAAAATAGGATAAGGAGTTGAGAAAGGTAGGGCTTACCTGGATGGGGATTAAAGAGCAGGGGCAGCTAGGTGGTGCAGTGGATAGAGTGCCAGGCCAGGAGTCAGGAAGGCTTATCTTCCTGAGTTCAAATCTGACCTCAGACATTTACCAGCTATGTGACCCTGGGCAAATCATTTGACCCTGTTTGCCTCAGTTTCCTCATCTGTCAAATGAGCTGGAGAAGGGAAATGGCAAACCACTCCGATAGCTTTGCCAAGAAAACCCCAAATGGGGTCATGAAGAGTCGGACACGACTGAAATGACTGACCGATAATAAAAACAGTGCTAGCAGAGGAAAGGGGTTTTCCCCTAGGCAGCCAGCATCTGACTCACGAGAATTAAGAGAGGAGGAAGTAGGACGCGTGAACAAGGGAGGTAAGCATAGTACGTAGAAAGAACACAGACTCTGGAGTGGGGGGGCCAAGTCAGCTAACTACTTCAGAGACCTTGAGCAAGTCACTTACCCCCCCCCCCAAGTCTCAGTCTCCTTATGTTTAAAATGAGTGGATTGGATGTTGCGGACCCTGAAATCCCTTATAGCTTTGATCTGTGATCCCAAGTGGGCATTTTTTCTAACCATGGGAAAGGTAAATTGCATCTGATTGTGGCTTCTGCCTTCAAGGTTCCTGTAATGACTTTTTCTCTTTCGAACACGGTGGAAGAAGGGAGATTGCTTGAGCATCAGAGTGGGTAAAATATCTGGTGGGCAGATCTCTTAAGGGTCTGACCAGAGCTGCCCCATACATGGAGCATTTGGCTTCTGCTTTCTGGTGGTTCTGAGTCCGCAGTGGCACAGTTTGGGGGCATTTGGATACTGACAAGAGGGTAGACCTTTTGTACTTTGTAAAATAATGTTCCCTAGATGCATTACCTCATCTCTGTTCCCAGTGGTTTGGGGTGTGGGGAGCAGTAAAAGGGAGAGCTTTCAGAAATACTTATTTCTAAATGTGACACTGTAGTCAAGCATTCAGTTTGGGTCTCAGCTTTCTAGTGCTTTCTCAGACCTGACATTTCTTTTGTTTTCATCCTAGGAGTCAGCTGCTATTCCAGGAACCTGGACTATGCCCGCATGCGGAAGATTGCAGATAATAATGGCGCATATCTTATGGCTGACATGGCCCACATTAGTGGACTGGTGGCCGCTGGGGTCGTCCCTTCCCCCTTTGAACACTGCGATGTGGTGACCACCACCACGCACAAAACCCTTCGAGGTTGCCGGGCTGGCATGATCTTCTATAGGAAAGGTGGGACTCTGTAGAATTAAAACAAAAACACACCGGCATTTCTGCCCAGCTTATTTAGATCCGGCGCCTCTTGTGAAGGCCCTGTGATCCTGTTGCCTTGGTAGGAATAGAAGCTCAGGAGGGTTTGGTCAAGAAGGTTGGCACAAGGAAGCTCTGAGCCCCTTGGGTTCGAGCCACAGCGACAGTGTTGGTGGGCCTACAAAATAAAGCCCAAACTCCTTAGTCTGGCATTTATTTCCCTCTGTAATTTGGCTTCAGTGGATCTTCAACCTCATCTCCAGCTTCTTCCTTTCATCCACCCTGCAGTCCAGCCGTGGGACCACTCCTTGTTCCCTGAACTGACCTTGTACATTCATATTGTCCATACCCTTGCCTGTGCTATTCTCCCTTTCACCTTTTAAAGTTTTATTTGTCCTTAAAGGCCCAGCCCTAACCTTTTCCCTGAAGTCTTTCCCAACCCTTCAAGCTGGAAGTGATCTCTGGGCTCCCAGTGGCACATTGTTTTTCATCTCTTCTGTTCACACTAATCACATTCTGCCTTTTACTGTAGTTATTTGTGCTCAGGCTTCTTATTTATTACTAGATGGAATTCCTCTGTATCCTTTGTAGGATCCAGTAGATTGTAGATGCTTAATAAATCCTTCTAAAATGTATTATAATGGCTAATGCTCAAGGTAAAATGACTGCCTGTAGAGCCAGTCAGTACCAAAGAGAAGATCAAGAGTTCTGTCTCCTCAACCAGATTTCTCAGCTATATGAGTCTGATCATTCTTCTAAAATTACACCTCACTGGGGCAGCTAGGTGGCACAGTGGATAAGAGCACTGGCCCTGAAGTCAGGAGAACCTGAGTTCAAATCTGGCCTCAGACCAAACACTTGACTCTTACTAGTTGTGTGACCCAGGACAAGTCATTTAACCCCATTGCCTTCAAAAAGAAAAAAAAATTACACCTCATTGCCTGGCCCTCTCTAGCCCGTCCTCTTTAGAGACAGCTTTAGTGTGGTTTGGAGTTTTCTAATCAGTTTGAACTCGATGAGAAAATAATTGGGACTGCAGAGTGATTTTCATTCTAATTTTTTTTCCTTCTCTAGGAGTGCGCAGTGTGGATGCTAAAACAGGCAAAGAGACGATGTACAATCTGGAGTCACTGGTTAATTCAGCTGTTTTCCCAGGACTACAGGGAGGGCCTCACAACCATGCCATTGCGGGTAAAAGTTAGATATAAGAGCCCTCTTGTGGCCTTGTGTGGTGACACATTCCATGGTCATGAGCACAGTGGTCCTCTTAACTTTACTTTTCTTGATCCCCTCCAACCTCTTCACCAAAACAAACTGTCAGGATTTCTAGGCTATCAAAATTTGTGGAGGGCAGCCTATTGGAGAGACCTCTTAGATTTACTTCTGCCTTTTTCCTAGGTCCCTCTGTTGAATTTTGAGGGCTGGGAGTGAAACTAATTTAGAGGAAGGTTTTTTTATTTCCTCCTTTCCCTATTTGTTTTGCTGAAGTAGGGCTTACAGGGAAGGGTACAGTTAGTATTGATAAAAGGAAACAAAGTATTATGGGAGTAGTGAGCTTGGCATTATGATTAGAAGAGAATGGACAGTGATATGGGTGATTAAGTGCACTTCAGTTTAATTCTTCTCAGGGAATATACTTTTGGGGGAAGACAGAGAGATTGTTTGGGAAGTGTCTTTTATAAAAAAGAAATAAAAAAAGAAAAGGGGATTAGTAGTGATGGTTTGGGGCAAGAACCAAGGCTGTGGAGCCACTTCTGGATAGGAAAAAGGCATGACTTTGAATATGAGAGATATGTGAGACAAGTTCTTAATAGAGTTAAGGAGTTTGAAAATTTTTTCTGCATTGTTTACCCCCACTTTTTTTGTGTGTTCTTGCTTACTTTTTAGTGTACCTATCTTCCAAGTGCCTTTCTACGTATCCTTGTTTGAGAAGAAAGCATTTGATAAAATTAATCCCTGCTCAGATGCTAGAAACAATTTTTGGAAATTGGAGTTAAATGCCAAAATTTTAGGCAGCAGCAATAGGTGAATTGGGCAGCTAGGTGGCGCAGTGGATTGAGTGCTGGGCTTGGAGTCAGGAAGACTTATCTCCCTGAGTTTAAATCTGGCCTCAGACTTACTAGCTGTGTCACCCTGGGCAAGTAACTTAACCCTGTTTGCCTCAGTTTCCTCATCTGAACTAGCAAACCGCTTCAATATCTTTGTCAAGAAAACTCCAAATGGGGTCATGAAATTTAGACAGGACTGAAACAGCTGAACACCAATAATAGGTGAATTGGCAGGGGGCATTTTCTTAGGGATAAAAATGATTAGGAGGTAGATTCCTGATATCTCAGTGAATTAGAAAGCATTTTTTAAGGCAGGCCATGTGCTGGGGGTACAAATGCAAAGACTAAAACAATCACTACTCTCAAGGAGCTTATATTGCAAGAAGACAACAAGTACACATTCAGGTATATAAGGAATAAATAGGAGGAGAAGAAATACAAAGTGGATAAATACAAGGGAGAGAGGAGAAAACCAGCATTTGGAGGGGATGAGGAGAAGTTTCACGTAAAAGGCGTTACTGGAGCAGGATCTTGAAAGAAGGGAAGGATTCTGTGAGGAGGACGTGAATTCCAGGTATGAGGCATAGCTGGTGCAAAAACTGGAAGATGGAGGAGGACTGTGGACAAGGAATCAGGAGAACAGTTTAGATCATATACAAGAGGAGGAGGAATGATGTACAATAAGCCTGGAAAGATGTACTGGGGGCTCGATTGTGACAGGCTTTAAAAGCTAACTAGAGGAGTTGATAGTTGATCCTAGAGTCAGTAGGGAGCCCTTGAAGTTTATTGAGGAGAGAAGTGACATGGTCAAATCTCTGCTTAAGGAATATCCATTTGGCAGCTCTGAAGAAGATGGACTGGAGAGAGCCTTGAGGCAGGGAAATTATTTAGGAGCCGTTGTAATAATCTAGGCAAGAGGTGATGAGAGCCTGAACTGAGATGGTGACTGTGAATAAAGAGAAGACGTCAGATGCAAGAGATGGATGTAGAAACAACAAGATTGGGTAACTCGTTTGGATTGTGTGGTATATGAAGGAGAGGGTGGACTCGAAGAATATAAGCCTGGAGGATTGGAAGACTAGAAGAATAGGGAAATTCGGAAGAGGAATAGGTTTGGGGGTGGGGCGGGGGAAGAGAATGAATTCTGTTTTGGATATGTTGAAATTAAGATGTCTCCTGGCCTGGGAATGAGGAATGTCCAATAAGCAGTTGATAATGTGGAACAGGAGCTTGGAGAGACTGGTGCTAGAGATATAGATCAGTTAAACTCATGGAAGCGTGTGAGGTCACCAAGGAAGAGAATTTAGACAACTGAGGGAAGAGGGCCCAAGCCAGAACCTTGGGTCCACCCACAATTAGGGGATACAAGGAAGATGATGCAGCAAAAGAGTGAGGAAGAAAACCAAGAGACAACAGTGTTATGAAAATCCAGAGGAAAAGATGTAGCCACCTACTCTGTCTGTAAGTTCAGCCCTACTTCTAACAAGCCAATTTGATGAGAACTATTCTGTATAAAAAAAGAACATTAGCCGCACAGCCACAGACTCGGACTGTAATCTAAAATTGCATGGGAGAATTCAGTCCAAGATGCTAGCAAACAGTGAATAGAAGGTGGAACTACTCAGCCATTAATGTTTTTATTTTCTTTACCAGGGAGAAGGGGGCTCCATATCAACCAGCAAGCATTCATTAAATGCCAGACACTGTGCTAAGTGCTTGAGATACAAAGAAGGGCATTCTCTGACCTCATGGAGCTTATATTCTAATGGGAAAGACAACATGGAAATTAGAACATACAACATGAATTCAGAGTAGATGAGAAGTAACCTTGGAGGAGATAGCTGCAGGGGATGAAGAAAAGAATTGGAAATAATACCAGTAGTCTTCCTAGATTGATGGAAGAAGCTCAGGATGCTTAGCCCGAAGAAGAGAGGACTTAGCAGGGGACGAGATAACTATTGTCAAGTGTTTGAAAGATCATCGTGAAAGATTATACTTGGTCTTGAGGGGCAGGACTAGGGAGAGCTGCAAGGGGGCAGATTCTGGCTGGTTATAAAAGGAAAGTCTAGTATTCGAGCTATCCCAAAGTGTTCCCTTCTGCCTCAGGTCACAATAGATTTCCCATCACTAGAGGTCTTCCAGCAAAGGTTGGTTGGCTCCTGGTAGGAGCTTCCTGCTCAGGTACTGGTTGGGGGAGGGGATGGAGAAAGAAGGGAAGGAACAAATATTAAGTGCCTCCTATGTGTCAGGTACTGTTCTAAATATTTTATAAATATTATCTCTTTTAATCCTCACAGTAACCTTGGGAGGTAAGGGCTATTATTATCACCCCCATTTTACAGATGAAGAAACTGAGGCAAAAAGATGAAGTGGCTTGTCCAGTAAGTGCCTGAGGCTGGATTTAAACCCAGGTCTACCTGACTCTAGGCCCAGCCGCTCCATCCATTGTCTTAGACCTGCTGGCCTTGTAGGTGCTATGATTCCACCTGGATGAGATAATCCTTAAATCTTGTCCAGAGTTCAGGGACTCAGCCTCAGGAGCCTCCAGATACCAAACGAAAGGAGTAGTAGCCCATTCCGGCAGGTTTGGCTTTGTTCCTGGGGGTGGGGCTTGGGGGGAAGGTATAGATAAGAGTTACCTTGATGTTACTAAACCTTTTTACCCAATTGTTGACATGGAGTCTCTTCCTGACTAGGAGTGGCAGTAGCTCTGAAGCAAGCCTTGACACCTGAATTTAAGGCTTATCAGCACCAGGTGGTTGCCAACTGCAAGGCCCTGTCAGCAGCCATGACAGAGCTGGGTTACCACATAGTAACAGGTAAGTACTTGCACTAGGTCTGTTGGAGTTCCTGTCCCTTTAACGTGGGACAGCTGGGTGGGCCTGGAGTCTGGAAGACCTGAGTCACAGTGCCTCAAGCACTTACTAGCTGTGTGACCCTGGGCAAGTTACTTAACCTTGTTTGCCTCAGTTTCCTCATTTGTCAAATGAGTTGGAGAAGGAAATGGCAAACCACTCCAGAGTCTTTGCTGAGAAAATTACAAATGGGGTCACAAAGCCAGACACAACTGAAAATAACAACAGTATCATTATTGTTATTATTTATTAGCAGTTATCCATTCATTCTGATGGCAGAATCAGAGCTGTCCCTAGGGCAATGATTTCCAAATTTTATGTAGTGATGCCCCATTCTTTTTTTTTTTTCCTTTTTGGTAAGGTAATTGGGGCTAAGTGACTTGCCCAGGGTCACACAGCTAGTAAGTGTCAAGTGTCTGAGGCCAGATTTTGAACTCAAGTCCTCTTGACTCCAAGGCCAGAGCTCTATCCACTCCGCCACCTAGCTGCCCCCATGCTCCATTCTTTTTACGGGACTTTGAGGATATCTAGTCCAACCCTATTGTTTTACAGTTGAAGATATTGAGGTTTCTCCAAAAGTTCACTGACTTTCCCAAGGTCACACAGTGAGGGGCAGCGCTAGCGTTTGAACCAAGATCCTCTGACTCCAGATTTAGCACTTTTCCCACTATTCCACCTTGCCTCCCAAAGACAAAGGAGAATACCGGTGGTGGTAGATTGTTGAAGGTGGGAGCCCTGCATGCAGGCTGACTTAGGCAGCACCCTCAAAAGAGCAGTACTACAGTGCCTGCTTACTGGGGAGCCCCCCAGGCCTCCTCACCACCAGCAAAGGGTGGGATTTGTGGGGAACATCCCATGGGAACTTGGGGTGCTATGAGAACTTCTTTCTGGTGGATGGTCCCAGCCATTGTCTCACCCAGGGATCTCCTCAGGGAGGAGGCCTGGGTCCATGCATGGAACCCCCAGGGGTTGTGAGGGAAGGCTCCCCAGTACCTACAGGCAAGTCCCACGTGTTCCTCTTGTGCTGCCTCTACCAAGGGAAGCAGATTTGCCATGTTAGTTTCACTTTGGTTTACTTTTATTTGAACTTTTGTCTTCACTGGAAAAAAAAAGGTGAATCTATTTATATAGTAGTTGTAATCAAATATAGTTGGTAATTTTTTGGGGGGTGGGGAGGCAGTTGGGGTTAAGTGACTTGCCCAGGGTCACATTGCTAGTAAGTGTCTGAGACCAGATTTGAACTTGAGTCCTCCTGACTCCAGGGAGGGTGCTCTATCCACTGCACCACCTAGGTGCCCCTATAATCAATAATTCTGACTATTACTTCACATCCTTCCAGAGGGTGTTGTGTCAGTCCCTCACTCTACATTCCAGTTTGGAAAATGGTTGCCTATGAGGACGCAGTAGACCCGAGGAATACGATGATAAAAAAAGTGTACCTTTGAGGAGCTGACCTTCCACTTGGGGTAGACAGCATGTAAACAAATAATTGGGCAGCTAAGTGGTACAGTGGATAGAGCACTAAGGCTGGAGTCAGGAAGACTCATCTTGCTGAGTGCAAATGTGGCCTCAGACACTTACTAACTTTGTGACTTTAGGCAAATCACTTACCCTGTTTGCCCCAGTTTCCTCATCTGTCCAATGACCTGGAGACAGAAATGGTAAACCACTCTAGTATCTTTCCCAAGAAAACTCCAAATGGGGTCTGCTTTTTTTTTAAATTACACATTTGTATGTTTTACTTACAATTTACAATACTCTAACAGAACAGCCCTATTGCTGTTTCTAATTCTTAGCAATTAACTCCTACAACAATAGCTCTTACAATAACTTAGTCAATGCATAACCAAAACCTCTGTAACTATTTTAAAGGAGTTTTCATTTACCAAGGTGCTTATTTCAACAAAATGCCCTGTCAATAAGAGAGGGGCACATGCTTTATCTGAAAATGTAACCCATATACTCATGCAACAAGTTTATGTTCCCAGTCCCCCGATGTAACTGCTGTGTGCCAGGTACTGTGCTAAGCACTGGGGATACAAGGAAGATAGTCTCTACTCTTAAGGAGTTCAGTCTAATGGAGCAGACAGGATGGGAGAAGTATTGTCTTTATGTACAAACAAGATATATAAAGGATCGTAATAGTAAAGAGGAAAGGCTTCTCATAGAAGATGAGATTTTAGCTAGGGCTTGAAGGAAGCCAGAAGGCAGAGATGAGGGAGAGTAGTCCAGGTATGAGGAACAGAGGAGTAAAAATGCCCGGTCTGGAGATGGAGTGTCTTGTATGAACTATAGCAAAGAGGCCAATGTCATTGAGTAGCAGAGTGTATGGAGGAGAAGAAGGTAGGAATGGGACAGGTTGTAAGGGACTTTGAATGTGAAACAAGATTTTATAATTGATCCTGGAGTTTATTAATGGGGGAAGGGGCAGTGATATGGTCAAGTCTGCCTTTTAGGAAGATATTGATAGCTGAGTAGAGGTTGGACTGTGGTGGGGAGGAGACCAGAAGGCTATTGCAGTGGTCCAGGTGTGGGGTGAGATGGGGATATACCAGGGTGGTGGCAGCATCAGGAGGTAAGGAGGCATATACTTGAGATATTACAAAGGTAGAATTGTTACAGAAATGGCATGAGGCTACCTTGTGCCTTTGGGTTAGATATCGATTTCTCTTTGGACTCAGGGGTTCAGATCTTGTCTCTGACACTATCTGTGTGACCTTGGATAATTTAGCCTCTCTGGTCTTCAATTTCCTTATTTATAAAATGAAGGTCTTGGACTAGTTAACCTCTAAAGTTCCTTCTAGCTCTGAATCTATGATTCTGTGATTCTTACTGGTTTCCTTTAAACAGAGGGACTTGGCTTATTTGAGAGCTGAACTGGGGCATCACTGCGAATTTTTACTTATCAAAATTGTTTCCCCAGGCGGTTCTGACAACCACTTGATCCTCGTGGACCTCCGCAACAAAGGCACAGATGGAGGAAGAGCTGAGAAGGTGCTCGAATCTTGTTCTATTGCTTGTAACAAGAACACCTGCCCAGGTAAGAGTCCCCTATAATCTAAATGGAGGAAAAAACCCATCCTTTCCCCACATCCCAAGGACTGTTGTTTTCTTTAAGCCACAGAAGGTACATTCTTCAAAGAACTTGTTAGAATTGATAGGTCATCTAACCCATCCCCTTCATTTTACAAATGAGGAGAGGAGCCCAGAGAGACAAAAGGTATTTTGGCAAATTACTAAGTAGCAGAGTCAGGTTTGAACCATGTTTGAACACGGTGATTCCAAATTCATTTTCCTATTATGTGTCATATCTTACAACTTGCCATATAGAAGGAATTAGAAATGCTTCCTAAAGTTTAGTGTTGTATCATTAGGTATAATGAGTGGGACTTTTAGGGATGTAGGGAAGAATTTTCTTTAAAAAAAATCAGTTTGACAAACCTGTCCAATGAGGAATGTGATTCTTCAAGAAATCACAAACATCCTGTCAACTGGTTGTTTTTCAGCAGATGGGATTCTGTGATGTGTTTCTATGCTATGATGAAGATGTTCAGACACTTTTAGAGAGGGAGATAATTCAGTATCTCCGTATATCTGTTTCCTGCAGAATGAACCCTAACCCAACCAGGGAAATTTTCAAAGGTTTTAAGACCAAATTATTCTAAGGACTAACTTGGGATACTTGAGTTTTCTTCTGCTTAGAAAGTTCTTGTAGCCACTTGGGAGAAAGTGGATAGGGAATTCTTGATGAGAGAGATCAGTTCTTCCAGGTTTGTGGACTGTGATGATCTAAGAACTTCCTTAAACAAAGTAGTGGCTTGCTTTCTCTTAAGTACCGCATTGGGGGTGGGGGGATAACTTTTGGTGTGTCTAGCCCCAAGGCAACTTTTAAGGCAAAGCTAACTTCATTGTAATATTAATTTTTCTAGCTCTTCCTCATATGTACCCCTGATTTCAGGAGCTCTGAGAACACTGGTTGTTTCAAAACCATTTACACAGTTGTATTAAAACAGATGGGCTGGGCCAAAATCCTTACTGCAAGTCATCATCCTCAAGTGTGGATTTTAAGTATTTAGTGGTAGTTTGGCAAATGAAGAGTTCAGTGCTCTCTTCTTACTTCACAGGAGACAAAAGTGCATTAAGACCTAGTGGACTGAGACTAGGAACCCCAGCTCTGACCTCTCGAGGACTACTAGAAAAAGATTTCTACCAAGTAGCCCATTTTATCCATGAAGGTAAGAATGAGGTTAGGACATTACTAGGTTTGTGGATTGTTGTCACTTGGGCTCAACAAACCCCTGGCAACACAGCCTTGGCTCCCACTAACTTCTCTGGTTGTAGAAACACTATAGTGCTAGATACTCTTCGCTGAGGACCGACTTCAGGATTCCTCAGGCTTCTTAGGTGAAGTGGTACCTGCTCAAGGTGTAGGTGAAGGGCTGGGTTGATGACCACTCATGTGATAATGACTCAGCAACAGTTTTCAGAGTGTGGCCCCAAGACCCTTTCAAGAGATCTGTGAGGTCAAAACTATTTTTATAACGTAAAAACATTTTAATTTCCAATATAGGAAATACTGATAGATATTCACATTAAAAAAAGGTCTTTGGAGAGTCCTCACACTTTAAAAGTATAAAAGGGTCCTTGAGACCAAACAGTTTGAGAATCACTGCTCTAGAAGTAACACTCTCCTGGCATCATTGACTTTTCCATAGGATCCTTTAAGACCCTTGTCGTTCAGGGATGTCTGACTTTTTGTGACCCCGTGGACACCAGCGATATTCATGGGATTTTTTTAAAAAAAGATACTGGAGTAGTTTGACATTTCCTTCTCCAGTGGATTAAGGCAAACAGATTAAGTGACTTGCCCAGGATCACAAAGCTAGTATCTGAAGCCAAATTTGAACTCTGGTTTTCCAGGAACTCTATCCAATGTCTTAAGACCCTTAAAAATTCTAATAGGGGCCTAGACTGTTATAAGATACATGAATACATTGCCTTTTCCTTTTTCTTAAAAGCCAAAAACCAGGCTGGCACCTAGATTTAAAATACATTTATTAATCTGTGCTGTGAACTGAAGTTTCAGAACAATAAGCATATTCCTTCTGATTGATCTGGAGTGTCACTCTTTTGACCCAGCAGTTGAGACTGAGCTATTAAATTGTTGTTGCCAAGGCATAAGTGGTAGAAATCACTTAGTTGTCTTCTCCATTAGTTTTATAATTTTACTCACCTCAACCAGTGTGCTTTAAGGTCATAGAATTGCAGACTTAGAACTGGAGGGACCTTAGCAGTTCCTCCTCTAACTCCCTCTCCCCATTTTACAGATGAAGAAACTGAGACCCAGAAGGTTAAATGACTTACCCATGGGTAGTCAATGGCAAAGCTTGAACCCAGGTCCTTTGATCCCAAATTGGGCTCTCCTTCCAAGGGATCACATTGCCCTTACTCTCCCTTTTGATGTGTATATTCATGAGACTCCTGGAAACATAATTCTGATTTGCAAAAACTCCTCACTGATGACTCAGTTGAGAGGTGAAGTCAGCAGGTCCCTCATTAGATGCTTTTTCACTAAGTAGGATGATTCTTATGGAGACGAGCTCCGGATTTGGCATCAGGACTTTGGTTCCACTCCTGGTTCTGCTCCTTTGTGTGGCCTCAGGCATCTTCTCTCTTTCTTCATCCACAAAGTGAGGATAGAATGATCTTTAAGGTTCCTTCTGTCTGTAACTTGCAAAGACTTACATGGGGGTTAAATAATCATCCTCTGCTAAATGCTAAAATAAAAAGCAGGGACTTCTGGTCACATAGTGAAATTGTTAGCTGGGCCTGCACTAGTATTTATGTCAGCTTGTTTTATGGGCATTGGGGACCATCTTGTTCCTATTCCTGAACCCATCTTTGGTTTGGAGGGTGTGTTATTATCGTCTAGATTTGTGTTTTGATGTGTAACTTCACTGTAGCATAAGCTTGACAAAAATGTCTTCAGCTTCTTGGTAAGCAGAGTAGCTTCATTATTGTGATGTTGTCTCTACAGGAATAGAACTGACTCTGCATATCCAGAAAGACCTTGGTCCCCAGGCCACCATGAAAGAATTCAAGGAGAAACTTTCTGGGGATGCGAAGTATCAGGGTGTTATCAAGGCTATCAGAGAAAAAGTGGAGAGCTTTGCAGCTGTTTTTCCCCTGCCTGGGATCCCTGATTTTTAAAATGAGACTGGGCACTGTCAGCAGTTTCAGAGTTTCAGAGCCAGATTGGAAATATTTAGCCTGAAGACTACCCAAGTGCCAAAAACCCCCTTTTAAGAAAAGGAAAGGAGAATGTATAATTGGGAGGGGTTGAGGGGAGCAGAAGGTTAGTTTTTTTGGGGGGGGGGGGAGCATCTTTTTAATGAGCTTCTCTAACATCCCTACATTGAAAAAATTACCATTTGGCAGTCATTGAAGTTCATTATTAGTTGTTTGGGGCATACTTTACTAATTAGTGAATTTATTTTGAATCCTGCTCATCCAATTTTTGTAGAATATTGGAGTATCCTATAGCCATTTCATCCTTCATTCAAATGAACGGTGATATAATTTAAAAGTATTACTTAAATAATTTTATGTAACCTTCTCTGCAGTGGTCAGCTGGCAGGCTCATGACTTATTACAGCAGTTCAGAAAACACCCCTATTAATGGCTTGTAAAAGTTACTCAATCTCAGTATCATGTTGTTCGGTAGAATGCCAGAAAAACTGAATCACGTCCATTTTAGTTGGAGAGGAAGTTATTGTGAAGCTTCAGCTAAGTATAAAATTACAAGCCTAACAAGTTTTATGTCTGTTACCACATTATGTAGGAGCTCAAAGTACCTTTAAATGCTATCTTTAATCCTCAGTGCTTTGGGGAGGTAGGTGGCAAATGTGACCCTTGCTTCTAGAGGGACAGATCACACATGAGGGAGGGATCACTTGCTGAGTCGTGGTACTTGGCAATGACAGCCTTCTATTCCAGTTTGAGATACTGGTCTACTCCCTACAATCAGGGTACCTGAAGCTGATGCCTTCCCAAAGAAACTGTTTTCCAAACAGCTGAGTGCAAAACAATAATGACCATTTTTAATAAGCACAATAAAATTAACCACAGAATGTGACAAGAATTATAGCTTTAAAAATACAACCAAATTTGTATTTCAAAAATATCTGAACTCAAATAAATTAATTTTTTTACAGTACATTTCTCATACTATTCATTTGGCATTAACTCATACTTGTGCAGCAACACCTCTAAAATGATATTACAGACATGCCAAGTATACTACTTCCAATGGGCACTTGTTTAAACTACCGCTTACACAGTGGTCTGCACACACAGATACAAACAAGTGAACATGCAATAATAAAATAGTTTTTCTTTAAAATAAGTGAGAATTCATCACAGCCTATGTTCCTCACTGCAACCTGAAAGGCAGTATTTATCTCGACCCAATCAGTATTCCCAACTCCTCAGTGTCTGAATTGTCGGGGTGAGATTGTACCCTTTGCTTCTGCCTTCTCACATAAATCAGCCCATCGCCCTGTGGATGACTGATTCACCAGTTTTCCCATCTTTGCTTCCTATCTGGGATCTGGCATCAGTAGTGAATTGTGTACGGTGGTCTAAAGTGCACACACACATACAGCAACAGTAAACTGCTCCCTCTCCCTAAGGTGACAAACATATTCTTTGTAGGGCTGGGGTTGACAGTCTGCCCGGCCGCTTTGGAAGAGTTCATTTCTTTCACTTGAGTAAAAGAACAAGCTGTTGACTGTAGGCCTGGGCCCAGTAGTTCGGGTTACTTGGCCTCAAGAGGTTTTCCTGTCCTTTTCCCAGCCTCATGAACTCTGACCTTTAACTTCCTATCACTATCCTGCCTTCCCTTACCAGAAGCATAACAACATAAAAGTGCTCACCGAGTCAAGACCACAAGCTTCTCAAAGCAGAGATAGGGGCAGCTTAAGGTGTTGGAAATTTCAATTGCATTATTACCCAATTTAAGAGCAGGGAAAAACCCTGTTGCCTCCCTCTTTTTACCTGTCTAATGAGTTCTCTTATTTCCTAATACAAAGCACAATATCGGGGGAAAGCCAGAAAACAGTTCAACTTAAAGCATAAATCAAGACATCCTTTCCAAACTCTTAGGGAGGCAAACTTGAGAAAAACAACTTGACTTCAACTTTTTGGTGACATTCTTCCAAAGGCTGCTCTGATGAATTCAATGAGTCTGAGAAGGTGTGCCCCGTTGTTGCACTGACAAACACCACAAAGGTAACACTGGGGACTATGACCTGACATGCAGCACTGAGGGTTCGCTGGGAGGATACATGCTCTTGGTATCGACAAAAAAACCAGGCTGTTCAAAAGTAAGCAATCATTTTTGCTTAGAGACACTTAGTAGAATCTCAGCAGCTCTGGCAAGCATATTAAAAACCGTTGGCCCCCTCTAGAGTCTTAAAATGGGATCAGGTTATTCATTTAGGTTTGAATTATACTGTATTATATTCCATGTCCACATACATGAATACAAATTAAAAGTATGCCTGGAAAATTACACGTTCCAGCTGGGTTGACTGGAGAGTATAATAAATCTTGAAGAGAAATATGTGAAACCACCCAAGTTTTCCTGGTAACATTTATGTTAAAAACAAAACCCTCCAACTCCAGGAGGGGAACACTTGGTTTGGGGAAGCGATGAAGCAGGAGATAAGAGATTAACATGGCTTTATACATGCCTTTTGTTTTAATTTTCTAAACAGGGATTTTAAAACATGTACCTGTAAATCCTTAACAAGTCTGATAATCAGGTTTATATTACCTAATTCTCACCTTAGTTGTTTTCCCCAAAAAAGGTGGTATAAAACAGAAAATACTGAAGATTTAAGTCTCAAACTTAAAGACAAAAGCTGTGTCTGTTACCTGAAAATAAATCTTGGCAACAACAAGAAAAAAAGATTAAAAAGTGGGGCTAATGTTACCTAGTTTCTGGGATGTGATTAATTACTTAAGTTTGAGTTTTCTTTTTAAATGTTTCCTATGATATTTATTGTGCTGATTACAAGAAAAAAAAACCGAAGCATTTTATCTGAGTATTTATAACTTTAATATCCCTCCCCCAATTAAAAAAGCAAGGTGTCTAATAATTAGATTCAATTTTCTGAAATATAAAAAAAGTCTGAACATAAAAGTCTTACCATAGAGTACATTTAAGATAAATTCCATTTTGTGGGAGTGTTAAACACCTATGCCCAAAGCTGTAAACAATTCTTGGTAATTTTTCTGAAACTTGTTGAAAATGAAATTCTTTTACTGAATAATAATTTTTGAATTTATACTCCCCAAAATTATTTTCTAGTTGGAATACGGCTCAAAAACGTAGTCCACCCTTAACGATGACTTTTGTTAAGTTTTTTTGACAGGCTTTTAGAGTCATGAGCTACACTCAGATTCATATAGGAAAAAATCTGTCCTATTCACTGGCATGGTTTACTGTTCACAATTTTGGTAACACTTTCTGAAATGCTACTGGGGTCAAGATTGGGAAAGAGCTCCTTTCTCCACTCCTACCCCCCCAACTGCTCTATTTAAATACCACCAAAGTAAGTGACTTAAGCCAGATAGATACACCACACACCAAAAGAGTGTTGCTTTTACCCATTTTCTAGCTGAAGCAGTTATTTGTCACTTTCCTATGTCATCAAGGGAGTCCTGCAGTGGAAAGCTTAAAATTCAAATGGCAACGGCAGCTCAGATGATACATCACTTTTTTCCTTTAAAGAGAAACTCTACTGCTGCCTCCTTCGTGGATGCAAAAGCACTGTTTGACCACCCAGCCTAGATACACCAGCATTGGACAGATTTGAGTGGCAAGGCTTTCCAAGTAGGTCTACGTCATGAGCAAGATTTATGCCTCACAATTCAAAGGCATCAGGATTGCCTATGTTTTTTGCTATGGAAATGTGCGGTATGAAAGAAAGGGGGGGAAAATAACCTGAAGAAATCCAAGCTGCTCCATCACGAAAAAGTCCCCAAATTTATCAGTTTGACAAACAATATTACACTGGAAATAGGGGAAGGGAAAGGGGGTGGCTGTCCTTCCCCTTTCTTATACAGAACAGCTAGGGGAATGAGAGAAAAACAAGACAAAAACAAATTCCTTCTTGTCATTCTCTTTGGGAGACAGCACAGTATACAGGACATGGTACCAAACCTTCTTGGAAAGGGAAAAGCTAACTGCCCCAGGGGCAGCAGCAGGATGAGGTCTGGCTTCAAAGAAAGACTTCTGGGTTAAGACACTAGGAACCCACATCAAACTTGAAAAGCAGGAAAACACACACCCCCTAAGAATCCTCCACTGACATTGGCTCAATGGCAACACCACATTTGAGTGCAGAATTCGGGGTTGCTTCATATCTATAATCACATTTTTTGTGGAATAAATTAAAAACAGTAAAATCTCATGGCTGGAAATAAGAACAGCACTCTTTGAAAACATCCTTTAAAATTTCAAGGTTGCAAGAAAACACATCTCTATATTCTGGTGGCAGGTGTGAGGGAGTGAAGATAAAAGCCAAGAGTAATGTCTAGTGAGATTAAATGCAACCTTCCCCACCACCTTTAAAAAATCACCTATAAATCCCTTGTGGAGATGGAGGACACTACGAGAACAGAAACAGGTCAAGAGGTGGGCACTATCCTCTCCAAGTCATCACTATCCTCAAAAGATGGGCTAATCTAAGCCAGTTTTCCAAATGTTTCTTCAATCTGGTCAAAATTAATTTAGGGGATTTTAGAACACAAGAAAACTGCTAGTCACAAATCAATGAAATGAACCAGAGCCCTTAGTCCAGTTAGCAAATCGCATCCTCTGAGAGGCAGTGAAGAAGTTGTGCAGGCTTGATGGATAAAAGGATTTAGAGCTGAGTAGTGATCCACACAGTTTTAATACTTCCCCAAAGCTTTGCCATGACAGCAAACTAGATCCTGATCAGAGAGAAGCCAGTAGAACAAAACCATGTTAATTGCCAATCACTGGCTTGATGGTACTGGTCAAACTGGTAACTTTGGCCCCACCCCTTCCATGCCCTCTGCCTTGTTCTTGGTTGTCCTGGAATCCTTCAGACCACTGCCTTCCAATCATTTCTGCTGACACAGTACATGTCTAAGCTCAAATAGTCTGGGAACACCTCCCCTCAGTCTCCTCCCAGCCCTTAACATTGAATAATGCAACAGGCAGACAAGGCACAGATGGACCTCTCTCTGGGCATGAGAAACCGAAGGTTCTACACTTTCCTCATCACTCCACGGGGGCTGCTTGAGACATTTTCTCCACCTGCCCAGTCAGTAGGTGCCTTCAGAACGGCAGCTGCTGGGCTTTCACTCGTCCCTTCTCAGGGGTCAAGGAGCAATCAGTTTCTGGGGACTACAGTTAAAATACCCCCTTTAAATACAATAGGCTCCAGTGATGTCAGATAATTACAGGGCCACTGCCAATCACCTGAGGTCTTAATGAGAAGACATTAATGTACAAATTAATGGATTAAGTTTCTATTTGCCATAGTTAAGTTGATTTTCCTGCTCACTTTGCCCCTCGATGTGATGAAGGTTTGGCTGGGTTCCTTTTGGGTTTTCTATGATGCCTAGAGCTGTGAAGTCCTGATACAGCTTACAATGAGTTTTTTCAATATCAAGGAGCATTCTGACTTTAACAGGACCCTTGCCCCCACGGCCGTAAGATGAAGAGCTATTTTGAATCTAGGAGCCTGATGACAACAAACAACTGACACAACAAAGAACTTACTGGTGGCTGACTGCCCTCTTAAATATTCTCAAGAAAAGCTCGGCTATGAAAAATATCCCATACTTGCTTCCTGAGTGTCAGGAACCTCTTAGACACCTGCATTTCCCCAGCTGGAGAAGCCCTGATGCTACTAACATTTTTCACCATCTAATTTTCTTTTCCAATGAATAGCAGAAATACAAAGTCAAGCTCAGGCAAATGTTTGGTCATCCCCATGGCACCCTCTGACTCCGTAAGTCATGTATGTTTCTGGGAAACAGCTGGGAACAGGCCTAGATTTTGTACAAAAAGCTGGGAACATAGTCAAACCTGAGCATTGAGTGATTAGGCCTGACAGGCTCTTGGATGTATTGCAGCTTGAGCAGCTCAGCCAAATATTGCACCACTTTGACATCCTCATTCACCAGGCCCAGATGCAGCTTCAAGAAGTTCACCTGTCGGCCTACCACAGACTGCTCAGTCTCCTTCTCATTGATGGGCAAGTGTAGGTGATGACAGAAAGCATAGAGAAAGGCCTTAGAGCACAGCTGGGTCAGGACACACTGCACATGCATGTAGTAGGTGCTCCCCCGTTTGATCTGGGTTCGGTGATCTGCCAGGCGGGGTACTAAGGTGCCTCGGTAGAGCGGGCACCTCAATGTTTTGTTGTCCAAATCTAGTATGCTAGTGTAACGGCTGTAGCGGTTCAGGGAATGGAGGGTGTTGACACCAGCTGGAGAAACCACTCTGAAACAGATAGGCAAAGGTTAATAAGGACAGTGAGACCCAGGAATATATGGTGACAAGTCAAGAAAATTAGATGATTTGGGCATCTTCAATGACTTCTTTCCTCTAAACTGTCTTCCAATTTAAAAGTTTCTCTAGAAACTAGAGTTTACCTTTGCAGAAAGCTTCTAGAAATTCTCAGCTTATAAAGCAGAGAAACAGGAGCTATTTACATAAGATAGTTTTTTTTTTCCCAAATTTTTACTGACATGTCATTAAATATTTTAAGATCACTCAAAAACAAAGGGAACAAGTACCGCCTAACCTAACCTCTCACAATGTGTTCCACGTTTGAGATTTCTGTTTCTTTATGCTACCGATCACCTGAGTACATCTGATTTCCTTAGTCACTTACCCATAGAAACCTTCAATATTTCGATGATTGCAAAGGTAGAATTAGAATCATGGCATTCAAGGATTAAAATATTATTTTAAATTCAATCAACACTCAGCAAGTGTCAACCATATGCCAAGCACTGCAAAATGCTAACACCATCTTCACCTCCTCAGCACTTACCGGGATCATCCCTCTCATTCCACATTCTACTCTGCTCCTAGGTGTGTGTCTCTGCCTCCACAATTCTAAGTCTCCCCTGTGAGTCATCTTCTATGGTAAAACCACCTCTTGCCCTTAAAATATCACTGTGAAGTAAAAAGGCAGGAACGAATATCTCCATTTTGTAGATGGGTGAAGTGAAGCTAAGATTTGGAATAAACTTTTCTGATGACCCACAGCTAGTCAAGGGGAAGAGCTGGGACTAAAACCCAGGTCTTGACTACCACAATTCCCACCACACAACATACTACCTTCGGCTGGTTTATTTCCAGATTAAGCATTTCTTGTGCTCATCCCATAAACATCTTGTCCATTGATAATCAGCGCCCATACCTTTCTTCCCTAGGAGTTTTAGGAATTCTTTCTTTGGCAATCTACTCCCCACCATGATGAGTACCCATCCCTCTTTAGCAAACTCTTTCAAATCTTTCTTCAGGTTGATTTTCCTAAAAAGTCTTTTTAATAGTTAAGACAAAACAAAAATGGAAAAAACCTAAACACTATCATCTGTCTACCTCTGCATCCGATTTCTGTACTTTATATTACATCTGTTTTATATCATGATCCTAATATTAAAGCTTGTTATACATGCCAATAGTTATCCAACTTCACTAATTTGAAAGGCTGGCAGGAGGCAGAAGAGGGATGTTACAGTGAAAAGTCTGAATCAAACTTGTCCTGTAAATTGATGACAAAGTATTCTCAAATAGAAGTCCTACTGCAATGAACACACAAGAAATATTTATAACTGGCAGTACTGCTGGCATATAATCAATGTGCTAAAGTACTTAAAAGTAATTATTTCAACTAGGTTAAACATGGTCTCTGCATTAGCCATGGAATGAGAGGCTAGGTTACCTAGTAAAAGAAATTTTAGGCACCAGTCAAGCAGGTGAGAAAGGTATTGGGGGGGGGGAGTTAAGGGGGTGAGGGAAAGGAACCTTGCCAAGGCCCTTAAAACCATACCCAATTGACAGTTATTTACTTTCTTGAGACCTGCTTAGGAGACCATATGAATGTGTGCCCATTGTCCATCTTATTAAGAAGTTCTGTCTCTAATCAATTACCTCTGTAAGCCAATAAGTTTCCACTTCTGAAAATCCATTATGTGCAAAGGGGAAGAGACCCAGTGTTTCACAGGCTTGGCATATTTGCCATAGTTGGGAACAAAGATGGAGAGAGCTGTTACGAGCTTCTTCACTATTGCTTCATCTTCCCCTAGCACAATAAGAGTCCTCCCACTAAGCAGAGAATAAATTGCAGGGTGTGCAAAAGGGTACTGCCTAATGAATTTTAAGGCATTCTGCCCAGCCTTTTTTTTATGCCTGTCTGAGAAGAGGCCAATGTGATGGGCAGGAGAAGGAGTCCTGTCTGAACTGGTAGATGCTGCACTGCTTATGTAGCTGGTGGAGTCTCCATATTCACTAAGGCTGATCTTACTGAGATCCCTGCTGCTTCTCAGACAGCTTGGGTCCAGGTCATAAGGAGAAAGGCCTTCTGTTGTGTTCTCCTGGAAAGAAGAGTTGATATCATCCACCAAGAAATCCACATGAACGCCCTGCTGCCTCTCCTTATAACGCTGTGGGGGAATACTGACCACTCCATCTTCATCGCAGTGCTTTTGTGTTTGGTCAGAATTTGGTATGAGGAGACTTGAACTCTCTTTTCCAATACAACAAGCAGAATCTGTTTGTGCTAAGGTATTTTCTGAACTGCCCTCTGTCTCGCCAAGATCCTGTTGGCCGACACTTGCACTAAAGTGAATAGCTCCTTCGTCATCATCTGCATATGGCTCTTCCACATAAGGTTCTTCATTAATGGCACTTGGGTAGCTTGCCTTAAAGTCATCAGGGATCAAGGCCTCTGAGGGACAAGTGCTAAGAACCTCAATGCTGTCCTCACTGATAGTCCTCCGGCTGACTGCTTTGCTCCGGACCACCTGAGGGCTCAATGGGACAGTCAAGCTTGCCTGACTGTCTGATTTAGACAGAACAGAAGTAGACTTTTCGGTGCCCAAAACTTCAATGCTTTCACCGCTGCTGATGCTTCCTTTCATATCCATGTCAAGGTAATCCAAGTTCTCCTGGTGATCATAAATGCTAGATTCTGTCACTTCAGACTCTTTGAATTCATCTCCAACTTCCTGCTCCATCTTGATAAGTACAGACTCCACACTGGACTTAAAAGATCCCACATTAATTAACACTTTAGGAATTGGACAGTCTTCCAAAGATCTGGAGTGTAGCTTGTCCTGACTGTACTCCATGGATGTATTATCCTGTTTCTCTACTACTTTATCATCCAAAGTTACCAAGTCTTCAAAGAGGAAGTTAGTTATACATTGTTGTTTCAAAAGAGCTCTGTCAATCTGGCTTGTCAAAAGGTAGCACAGATCTCCTCTAAATATGTGTTCAATATGATTCAACTGAGCCAGGGTCTGGGTGAAAAAGTCAGTGTCACAAAGTTCTTCCAAGGTTTTCAGCTTCTTGTCAAAACATTTAGCAGACTTTGCCTTGATGAGCTTTGGGGTATATGAGGTTCTTCGCCTATAAAGATTTCTTTCAGCAGGCTCATCAGGTTTAGAGGTAGTGGATGCCTGGTCAGCTGATTGATCCTGGGCACACTCTGGCTCACGTGGATAGCAACCAGATGCCTTCAGTTTTCGGTGAGGATAAGATCTGATTTGCTTTAATAGGTCTTGGTGCTCAATAATGGATTTTTCCACACTGGCCAACTCATTGGCCTTCTCAATGGCCTGAGAGGAGTAAAACCATTTGTCACTGGCCTTTTTCTGGATCTCTGTTTCAGTGTGCAGCACTGTCCTAGTGTAATCCAGATCTTTCAATTTCTTTTCAAGTTCATTTGCAAAAGCTTTTCTATTGCCTTTCTTCAAGCACTCTGAAGCCTTGGAGAATTCAGCTGAGAGCTCTTGGAACTGCTGCATGATTTTATGTTCATCAGTGGAAATATATGCCATGCAAAATGGCCTCACAAAACCCCTGGCCTCCAGATCATAAAGGGTGAGATGATGCACATAAGCAAAGGCCCCTTCCTTTGAATCCCCCAGTACAACCTTAGAGTCTTCCACAAAATTCAGCTTGGGGTAGGCACAGCCAGATGGATGCCCCACAAAGGAGGCCTGGTAATCCACAGACATGATCCGGAGAGAGAAGTAATTGAGATCAAAAGTGCCAAAAACTTTGGTATCATCGGGGATGGTCAGCAAGGGCTGGGGTCCCACCTGCTCAGAGAACTCTGAGATAAGAATGAAATCCCGAGAAAATTTGGCCCCTGACAGCTTGGACCACGGGTTAGTCCCCTGGTTTGCAAAGGGGAACAGGGGCACGGAGTACTCCTCCGGCAGGGCCGGCTCATTGTACGGTTCTTCCTCGTATTCTTCCTCTTTGGTAAAGGCCACCACATCAGGGGCGCTGATCATATTTCCAATTATGGTAAAAGGGCATGAGGGAGGAGAAGTGAAAACAGAGAAGTCAATCGAAAATACGAGGAGAACTAAGGGGCAGAGGTTTCCGGGGGCAGGGACTCACGGGAGCTCTCGCAGCGCCGCAGGGTCCTCGGCGGCAGCCCCGGGGTTCTCGGCCCCCGCTCCTCACAACATCCGGTTCCTCCAGGAGCTTCGGTGTCCTCATCCAATCGGGTCCCTCGTGCCTCGGGATCTCCCGAGGCCGGGGTTCCGGGCCAGTCGGTTGGCTCCAGCCCCTGGTGGGACTAGAACGGGGGACGCTAAAGTCTCGTTCTCCTCTCCTCACGCCGGCCGCGAACTCACCCTCAGCCGGGCAAAGCGGGACCCGGGAAATAAGAGGCGAGGTCGCCTCGGTTCCCACCTACGCCGCCGCTGCTCCAAGTGCGCTCCCCGGCCCGAGGCTGCGGGCGGCGGCGGAGTCCAGTCAAGCGTTGCTGCCGCCCCCGCGACTGAAGCTCGCAGGAACGAACCGTCCCGGATTCTCGGACGCCACAGTCGCCAGCCAGCTACTGAGGGTCCGCCATCTTGGGATCACATGACCCACAGAGCGGCATCTTCCTGAACCGGAAGCACCTACGTTAGGCTCCTCACGGAAGAGCATTATGGAAGGAAAAAGGGAGGAGAAAAGAAAACGAAAGCGATAAAATGTTACGTAGGCCGGGCGGGAAAAGGACTGGGAACCAATTGGGAAGTGTTCCTATGGGCGGGAAATCCTAAGGAAGAGAAAAAGGGCCAATTCCTGGAAAGCTATTACGCCGCTGCGCCCGGGCCTCCTGGGAGTTGTAGTCCCCAACCCACCGCGAACTACAGGAAGCTCTACACGCCGGGACATCCCGGGAGTTGTGGTACCGGATACGAGGACCGAATGAAAGCTGAATGGTCGGCGGAAAGCAACTACACCACACTCCAGGCCATCCTGCGAGTTGTCGTCCCCGATGCTCGGAGCGACGGGCAGTAGGGTAGCGGGTGGACGTGGAAGACCACTATGCTGTGCGCCACGGCATCCTGGGAGTTGTAGTTCGCGATTCTGGGAACGACAGGCAGCTGAGTGGCCAGTGGATGAGGAAAGCCACTACACCGCCAGGGCATCCTGGGATGCCAAATAGTAGGAGCGACGGGAAGTCGAGTGTCGTGGGCTGGAATTTTGCCGCGCGGGAAAAGCTCCGGGCCTGCAGCTGAGGCTTCCGGGGGCCGCGTCAGTGCCTGGGAGGGGCCGCCCTCCTCGCTCTGTCCCGATGAGCTGTCCGGGCTTGTCCTGGAGAGTGTAGTTCGTCCCCCTCGGAGCTCGGGGGTCGACGTGGTGCCGACGAAGTGGGGACTCGGGAGACCTGAGCCGCAGGGACCCCGGGCCGGGCGCCGGGGCCGGCTGGGGCGATGGGCCGAGGTCGCGGGCCCGCTGCCTCGGCATGATCTTCCCGGCTGCCCGCTTGGGCCTCCGCGCCGTCCGGAGCCCGCTGGGGCTGCAGAGCCGCCCCCTGACCCGGGACGCCATGGAGGTCGCGCTGCGAGGCAGCCGCCGGGTCCTGTGTGTGGCGGAGAAGAACGACGCGGCCAAAGGCATCGCGGACCTTCTGTCCGGCAGCAGGATGCGGAGGGTGAGTGACCCCCGGAGGGCGGGCTGCTTGCTCATTCCCGTCTTATGGGGCAAACAGGGTAAGTGACTTGCCCAGGGTCACCCAGGCAGGATTCGAACTCCGTACTCCCAAGCCCTGCGCTCCCCTCCACTTCGCCCCCTACAGCTGTCAATCACTGGCTTTGCAACCTAGGAAATAATTGATTTGCATTGGGAAACTCGCTTTTTTGTTTTCTTGTTTCGAGTGGGGGACTCCTGGTGGACATAATCTGCAAGGAGGCAGGTTTCAGCTCGGTGTAATCATCCTAATAGCTGACGTTTAATCAGTACCCTTACTATATGCAAGTTGCTGTACAATTATTCTCATTTGGTCCTTACAACAGCCCCGAGAGGTAGATAATGTTATGATCTCCATTTTACAGTTGGGTAAACGGAGGCAGTCAGAAGCTAAGTGACTTACCCCTGGTCACATAGTAACTGTCTGAGGCTGGATTTGAACTCGGGTCTTCTTAACTCCTGGGGCAACTAGGTAGCACAATAGATAAAGTGCCTAGCCTGAAGTCAGGAAGACTCATCTTCCAGAGTTCAAACCTGGCCTCAGACACTACTAGCTCAGTGACTCTGGTCAAGTCACTTAACCCTGTTTGCCTTAGTTTCCTTATCTGTAAAATGAGCTGGAGAAGGAAATAGCAAACCACTCCAGTATCTTTGCCAAGAAAACCCATGAAGACTCAAGAAGAGTCTGACATGACTGAAAAGACTGAAAAAAGACTTCTTAACTCAAAGATTTGAATTCACGTTTTCCTGACTCAGGGCCTAGAGCTTTAACTACCCAGTTGCTTGAAGGTAGCTTGGCTTAGGTCTGGTCAGGACATGATAGCCTTGTGATTTTAGACAAGTCACTTAAACTCTCAGTGCCCTAAGCCAGTTTTTTCCTAACCATTATGACTACTTAACACCTATTAGTAACTTGTTATCTTTTCCTCTAAATTGAGTGTGTGACCCTGGGCAAGGCTCCCTGATTGAAGGAATTTCCTCCCTTTGACACACCCTAAACCAATGATTGGATATTGGGGGGAAAGGAAGAGTGAATGAATGTAAAGAGCTGAGGATGACTTTCCAGGTTGTGAACCTGGAAGAATGGTGGTTTCAACAAAAGTAGGGAAATTAGGAGGGGTGGGTTTAGAGGAAAAGATAAGCAAGTTCTGTTTTGGACTTTTGAGTTTTTGCTGTTTAGGGGACTTCAGCTAGCTGGGTCCAGCAGGCAGGTGGAGAGGTGGGAATGGAGCTCTGGAGAGAGAAGATAGCTGGATAATCTCTGCATAGAGATGGTAGTTGGCTCTGAGAGAAAGTGTGTAGAGATAGAGAAGAGGAGAGGACCCAGGATAAAGCCCTGGGGTACACTGGGGGATGGCATGTAGATGTTGATCCTTTAAGAGAGACTTGAGAAAATTTGGTTGGACAGGCAAAAGAGAACTGTAGAGATTAGTGTTATGAAAACCCAAAGAAGACAGGATCTAGAAAGAGGAAGTAGTCAATAATGTGAACCACACCAGAGTGGTCAAGAAGGGTGAGAGCTGAGCAGAAACCATTGCATTTAGCAAAGAAGAGATCATTGGTGATCTTGAAGAGCAGTGGGGATCAGACTCAGAGATCCCTGCAGGTACATATTGACTTAGAAAACCACAAGTTAATGTTACCTATATTGTATTGTGAGGAAATTATATGGCTCAGTGGATAGAGCACTGGGCCTAGAGTCAGGAAGACCTGAGTTCAAATCCAGCCTCAGACACTACCTTGGACTTGTGACCTTAGGCAAGTCATTTAACTTCAGTTTGCCTTAAACCCACTGGAGAAGAAAATGACAAACCATCCCAGTCTCTGCCAAGAAAACCCCATGGACAGTACTGGTGTGCCAGGGTCCATGGGGTCACAACAACAAATATTTTACTGTATTTTTGTTTACTTTATTAAACATTTTAAAATTACTTTTTAATCTGGTTCAGGCCGCTGGCTTGCAGCCTCAGAGTTTGGCGCCTGTGAACAGTTTCTGTTGAATTGAAATTTGGATTGCAAGGATTTGTAAAGTGCTGGAATGTGATAAAGTCAACGTCAGAATAGAGAGCTTTTTCAAGAATAGGGGTTCTTTACCCCTTTGACAATGTGATAAAGTCTAAGAACTTCTAAGAACATTTTTAAGTGCATAAAATAAAATACATAGGATTACAATGGAAACAAATTATATTGAAATACGATTATCAAAATATTTTTAAAAATTCACAGATAATACCCCCTTCTCCGCTGGGGATTTGATATGAAAAGAAAGAGAGCTATAGAATTGTAGTTTGAAGAGGATGATAGAGTCAAAGTGAGTTTTTTAATGATGTCAGAGAGAACTAGTGGATAGAGAAATTGAAAATTAAGGAGAGAGGGCATAATTAAAGGGCCAGTTTCCTGGGGAAGAGAAGAGTGGGGATGGGATCCATGGTATAAGCAGAGTTTGTTGTTGACAGTAGGAGGGGCAGTCTTTTTTCTCCCCCAGCTCAAGCAGAGAAGGAGATTTGAGGGGATTATGCTGAGGTGATTTGAAAGGGGGGATTGATAGGATCAGCATTTCATAGTGGATGGCCTCAGTTTTTTCTGTGAAATAATGATTCAGTGTCCTCTGCTGAGAAGGAGGGAGGACTGGTGGTTAGAAAAGAGGAGGTGTGAAATAGTGGTTGGGGATGTTTTGATAGAGATGAAAAGGATTGTTTAATGCAGTAGTGTAGGGCCACTTGAGATTGAATAACAGATTTGTAGTGGTTGTGTGACTTCATCCAGAGTGTTGATAATCCAGCAAGCAACAGGAGAGAAAGTGGGAACAATTCAGGTTTGGGATTTTAAGAGGGATGAGTAGCAATGGGACAGGGAATTCAGGGGTCAGGGACAGTGTAAAGTAAAAGGTAGAGATTCTGAAGTGAACAAAGTGAAACCAGAGTAGGGGTGATGGGCCTGAGGAATCATGGTGGGGAGTGGGGCTGGATTATAGGGAAAATGACCCCGGGGGCTAGAAGATTGGTAACTTCCAGAATGTGAATAGGGTGATATGTCTGGATGGAGTCAACCTTAAAGGAGAGGTCACTGAGTGACTAGTGGGAGTGGCAGGGAGGTACAGGCAGAGCGCCTACGTGAGTCCAGCGCCTTGTGTCAGGGAGTGGGAGAGAAGGTACATTGACTGGTCCAGGAGAGAGTCACTTGGGATCCAGTGTCTTCAGGGGAGAACCGGGTTTCTGTGACTAGTTAGTATTATGCCTTGTAAATAATAGGCGCTTAATAAATGTCTTTTTAATTGAACTGAAGGATAACTTCAGTAGGCTTTTGTTGTGATGAAACTTGTTCTTGCATCCACAGAACCTAATTAGTATGTATTTTTGTGACAGATTCCACAATTACGTTTTTTTGATCAATTGATTGACTGGCTGATGTTCCCTGCTTGAAGGGAAGAAAGTCTACAAATTTATAGGATTTTTCTATTAGCCTTTTTTTGGCCCCTTCCAACAAAAATTCACCATGTTGTACTAGTTTCATAGGTTTGGAGACTGTGTGTATAGTTGTATCTGATTCATTTTCTACTTTTTATCCAGAGTTAAGACAGAAACATAGGAGCTGTATTCATATCCTGGTTCTGCTACTTTCTACATCTATAAATATAAGCAAGTCACTTCCCTTCTCTAGACTTCTTTTTCCTCATCTGTAAAATGAAGGGGTTAGATTAGGTAACTCCCACATCTCTTCTACTTCTGTGGTCTAAATCTATGATCCTCTGATCCTACTCTTCTTCAGGACCTCCACTTATAGAACCCTAGAATGCTAGCGGTGGAAGAGTTGTTAGATATCATCTATTGCAACTTCAGAATTTTATTAACGAAGAAACACGGGTCCAGAGAGGTGATGTCACTTGTAAGCTCCCCATAGTAAATTATTGGCAAAGCTGTATTTGAGGCCATTTCTCCTGACTCCTAGGACAGTGTTTTTTCCATCAAATGGTGCTGGAGCTTCCTAGTCATCTGTTATTGCTTTGAAACCTCTAGGCACCTTAGAAGAAAGAAAGAAATAATGATGTTTTGGGGGGAATTGAGGGATATAATGGACCTTAAATTTGTAGGAGAGAGGAGTAGGAGAGGGAAAGGAAGAAAAGAAAACTATCAAGTACCTTGTTTTGGGAGTCTGTCAGAATTAACAGTGTTTTAAAATTTTGGTCTGCTTCTCATTTGCAAGTGATTTACATTTATTGCTTTTTGTGTTGAAAAACCTTAGGTTTTGCATCGTCTTGTTTTGTTTTTTTTTCTTCATTTTTCTTTCTTTTTAAATAGAGAGAAGGATTGTCGAAATTCAATAAGATCTATGAGTTTGACTATCAACTGTATGGCCAGGTAGGTGCTGAAATACTTTGCACACACAAAAATTTTAAATGTACCACAATTGGATCATAAATTCCTTTTTTCACAATTTGTTTTAAGAAATATGTATATATCACCTTTAACAAAATAATAACATTGTGTTTGCTTCTGTGCATCTTTTCAGATTTTGTAGTTACATATTTGTAGTTGATATATTCTAATCCAACTTAACTCTGCATTACTTTAGAACTCTTCCCATATTTCTTTGCAGTCTTCATATTCATTTCCTTTGATGCAGTCATATAACATAATTTATTCATCTTTTAGTCATTTCAACCATGTTGTTCCTAAGCTTCTTCCTATGATGAATAAAGCCGCTATGAACATTTTCGTGCTGATAGCTAATAATAATAATAATAATATATAGCACTTACTATGTGCCAGGTACTGTGCTAAGCATTTTACAGTTATTATCTCATTTGATCATCACAGTAACTCTGCAAGTTTGGTGCTGCTATTATCCCCATTTTACAGATGAGGAAATGGAAGCAAACAGAGGCTGACACAACTAGACTACTAGTGTCTTGAGGTCAGATTTGAACTCGGGTCTTCCTACAGGCCCAGCACACTATTCACGTTACTACCTAGCTGTCCAATAGGTCTTTTTTTTCCTTTCAGTAGTTATGTTGCTTTCTATGTTTGAATATACTAGTGTCTATATAGCACAAATAGAAAGTTAATAAATAACAAATTAATATATGCAAAGTAATTAATACAGGGTAGTTTAGAAGGGTACACGCTAATAGTTGTAGAGAACAGGAAAGACTTCATATAGAAAAAGATGCTTGAGCTGCTTCTGACCATCTCCGTTACTTGGAAGAATTCCTAAGTGATGGGAAAGGTTAGTTTGCTTGTAGTGACTAGAGTGGTGATTTTATTAGTATTCATTGAAAAGTGTCTGGAGAAAGATTTATTCTAATAGATTATTTAGCTTAGTAGAACACTTTCTCTGTAATTACAAAATGTAGTTGATAGAATCAGGAGAACAATTTATACAGTAACAGCAGTTTGTAAAAGCAGATGACTTTGAAAGACTTAGAGCCTCTAATCAACACAGTGACCAACCACAAATCACAGGCCTGGTGCTGAAACATGCTCTCCACCTCCAGATAGAGAATTGATGGACTCAGAGTGCCGAATGAGGCATATAGTTTTCATTTTTGTTTTGTTTTGTTTTTGTTTTTGTTTTTTGACCTGAACAATGTGGAAGTTTATTTTCCTTGATTATATGCAGTTGTAACTTTTTTTTTTTTTTGCTTTCTTAGTGAGGAGTAGAAGGAAGAGAATTTGAACCTAAAAATAAAATAAAATTGAATTTACTATTTTTTAATTAAAAAACAAATAGATATGCCATAGTCATTTTTTTTTTCTTCTCTCCCTGTCTCCCCCACAGAATGTAACCATGGTAATGACTTCTGTTTCTGGACATTTGCTTGCTCATGATTTCCAGATGCCGTTTAGAAAATGGTCAGTACACGTACTCTCCCAGGTGGGAAGAGGGAGGTGGGTGTTCTCACTTTGCAGAGAATTGTGAAATACAGCAGAAATTCTAAGGGACCAAGTGAGTATAAACCTTTATCAGATACTTAGGGATATCTTTAGTGTTTTGAGTTTTGGAACGCTTAGTAAGTTCTAGAGACTGCCCATAACTTCGAGGGAAATTACATTTATTACACATTTTATGTAGAGGAGTTCAAGAATTTTGTTTCTATATTTACTTTACTTCCTTAAACATAATGTTCCAGAGAGATTATTGATGCTTGTCTCAAATGGTGTTCTTGTCACATAGGATTTGTTCACTCTAAAGCAAAGAAAGGCAAAAATATCTTATCTACTGTTTTAGTCTACAGTTGTTTGGAATGGTAATTATTATAGTGTGTAATCTATAATTCATTTCATTCTCTTGAATTAGCTAAATTTCCTGTTTATTGCAAAACTTCTGGTTTCTATTTGGGGAGTGAAAGGGTTTTTTAAAAGAGCAGAAAACTTGAATCTTTTGGATATTTTTTTTAAATCCAGAGAACTTGTTTATTGAACTGAAGCAGTTTTTTAAATATGGACTTAAAAATGAAAATTGGTTTTTATTCAGGGGAGCCCTTGGCAAGAATTCTGAAATTGAGTTGGGTTCTGCCCCAATTCTGGCTTCTCTGTGACTGTACCTTTTAGTGAGTGCTTCAGATCACTTACAGCATCCCTAGCTCTGGACTTCTTTCTCCCACCTTTCTGCCGTAGTTATCTTAGGCCTTCCACCTGACTGTGAGTATTAATGAGTGGTTCACATACATTCATCTTCACTGTAGTGTTAACTGGCCAGTGTTGCCATTTCCATGGGACAGAATTAGTTAAGGATCTAATAAAGAGTTTATCTTCAGAAGGCCCCTAAGGAAAGACTAAGATGGTATTGTGGCAACAAAACCCACTTTAAGGGGCAGCCAGGTGGCAAAGTAGATAGAGCACCAGCCCTGGAGTCAGAAGGACCTGAGTTCAAATCCAGCCTCAGACACATGACACTTACTACTGTGTGACCCTGGGCAAGTCACTTAACCCCGATTGCCTCACCAAAAAGCAAAAACAAAAAACAAAAAAACCCCACTTTATTACAATTTAGAATATAAGTTTATTCCATTTAAGGAAAAAGCCTAGTCAGGGAGAAGTATCAATTGGCACATAGAAAAGTATGTCTCTGGGGCAGATGGACTCCTAAATACACCCCTTCCCCTAACCTATGAGCCAGTATTTCTCACAAAGATTTAAAAAGAGAGGGGAAAAAGTTTAGCAAAATGTTTACTCATTTACCTCTTGATGAGTATCTATTTTGTTTCCCCTTCTTTGTTACCACAAAAAGTGCTCGAAATATTTTGTGTACATAAGTGGTGTACATGTGGTGGACGTAAGACCTTTCTTTCTGTCTTTGACCTCCTAGCAGTGGCATCTTTTCTTTTCTTTCCTTTTTTTTTTGTCTCTGTCCACACATAGGGTATCATACCCTTCCCTGTGGGTGCTTTGCCTAAAGGAATGTAAATTTTGATGCTGAAACCTTGTTTTTTCATAAGGATCTTGCCTTAAACCCAAATCACTCTGGCTTTCTTGATTGGCCAACAGTAGGTCCCAGCCCAAGCCCCACTTGGTCATTGGTTGGGCCCTGATTGTCCCAGAGTGAATGTAAATAGCAATTGTTCCTGTTTTGGCCAGAAACCCTGAGGGTGTTCTCCTCCCAGATTGACTTTTTTTTTCATTTTTGACTAGCTGAAGAGACCATTCTCTGCCTCATTTCTTACCTAGCCTTAATCATCGAGTCAAACTGAGACCTGTTAAAGACCTTAGCTTGAAAAGGCCAAGGTCCCCCACTACATCCAGGGCCATCTCCAGTCGTCCTGATCTATATCTCACCAGTGGCTCCAGGGGAGAAAGTGAGGCTGGTGACTTTGCGCAGCCCTCCCTCACTTAAATCCAATTCACGTGCATGTCATGGCATCACCTCCCTGCTGTCATGGTGTTCTTTGAGAATGAAGGACCCACACTAACAACAGTGGTATCTTGGTATTAAAGGATAGGGACATTTTAGTCAAGTATGAATTTTTTTTTAAGTTTTTATTGAAGAGCAAAAAGATCTATATATACAAAAATATTTATAGCAGCTCTTTTTGTAGTAGCAGAGAACTGAAAACTAAGATGATGCCCATCATTTGGAGAATGGCTAAACAAATTATGGTACATGAATGTAATAGAATACTTATGTGCTGTAAAAATGATGGAGATAGTTTCAGAGAAATCTGGGGAGACTTGTATAAAATGATGCAGTGTGAAGTGAGAAGAACCAGAAGAACATTTTATACAACACTATAAAAACAAAACTTTGAATGTCTTGAGAATTCTGATCAATGCAATGACCAACCATGCTTCCAGAGAACCAAAGATGAAGTTTGCTACCTACATCCTGACAGAGAGATGATGGACTCAGGGGGCACAGTGAGACATAAAATTTTTGACACAGCCAATGTGAGAATTTCTTTTGCTTAACTATACATATTTGTTAAAGGATATTGTTTTTCTTTTTCTAATGGTGGTGGGTGGAATGGAAAGAAAATTGGCTTTTGTTAATTGAAAAAATAAAATTTAATGTAAAAAAGATACAAAGTAAATACCCCCCTCCAAAAGAAAGTAAAAGCTTTTATTGTGTAGTTTCTTATTGCATTCCTAGATAATGAGACCAATTCACAGTTCCAATGGCAGTGAATTTCTGAGATATATTTTCCCTAGCAATATTGCATTGACCATTATTGCCAGTTTGATGGATATAAGTTGAGATCTCAGAGCTGTTTAAATTTTCATTTCTTATTATTTGAGATGATGAAAAAATTCACAAATGGTTGACCCTGGGATCATAGCTTGTTGATAAAGTTTTTTTCCTTCCTTTGATTATTGCCTATCCATATCCTTTGACCATTGAACTATTGGAGAACACCTTTTAATCTCATAAATATGTGCCAATTCCCTTTTTATTTTAGATTTTAGACTTATCAGAAATATTTAGTGCAAGGATTCTTTCTCAGTTTATCTTTTCTTATTAATAGTTACATTGCTTTTTATTTTTATAAAATTGAAATGATCTGTTTTGTTGTTAGTAATTCTCACTATATCGTTGCTGGTTAAGAACTTTTCTTCTGTCTACTCTTTGGAAAGGTCAAATCTCTCATTTCCTCTGGTTTTTTATGATATAACTTTTTATATTTAGAGGGATGATCTACTTGGAATATATTACGGCAGATGGTTCAAGTTTTTGGTCTAATTGAATTTTATGCCAAACTGCTTAGACAGCTTCTCAGCAGTTTTTATTTTTTTATCTAATGACAAATTTCCTTTTCCAGTAATTTGTATTCTTGGATTAATTGAAGACTAAATTGTTTCATGGGTTTGATTCTAAATTGTGCTTATCTTATCCATTCCACTGATCTATTTTTCTATACCTGTTCTCTAGGCAGAGTTGTAACCCTCTTGTACTCTTTGAAGCTCAAATTGAAAAATACTGCCCAGAGAACTTTGTCGATATCAAGGTAGGAGCTTTTGAGAAGGTTTATCATTGCAGGATCTACTGAGCAATGGCAATTTTGAACTTTAGGACCCAAAAACTTTGTATTCTTATCTTTTTAATAGAATAATAACAAAATAAATTTTTAATAAATAAGTTTTCAGCAAAATAAGTCTTATTAATAATGCCTTTTGTTTTTACATAACAATCATTTCTGCATCTACATCTAAGCTCCTATCCCTAGACTGAACTTGCTGTCATAACAGAACGTGTGCTGCTCTTCACGCAAGTGATTCCATCTCTGAACTCTGAGTATTTTTCACTGCCTGGCTCCTTTGCCTAGAATGCTCTCCCTCTTCACCTCCACCTTCTAGCTTTCTTGGCTTCCTTCAAGTCTCAACTACAAATCCCACTTCTTGCAAGAAGTCTCTCTCCCTGTTCTCTTTAATGTTAGTGCTTTCCCTCTGAGGTTATCTCTAGTTTGTCCTGTACATTTGTGTTTGCTTGTAGTATCCCACTATTAGACTGTGAAGTCTTTGAGGGTAGAGATTGTCTTTTGCCTTTCTTTGTATTCCCAGTACTTAGCAGTGTCTGTTACACAGTAGATGTTTAATAAATACTTCTTGATTTGATTTGGTTTGGTATACTTAATTATAGTGTTGTGCTCATAATCCATTGCTTCATTACTTAGTCTGATAAGGTAAAGTTTGACAGTTTCATTTACTGGCTTAATTATTTGTTTTATGGGTTGTGCTGTCAACAGTTTTCCAAATCATATTTCAGAGAACCCTGGAGAAAGAGGCCAGACAGTGCCAGTCTCTGGTAATCTGGACTGATTGTGATCGAGAGGGAGAGAACATTGGGTTTGAAATCATCCATGTGTGCAAAGCTGGTAAATAATACCTCTGTATAACATTTAAAATTTTAATGCACATCTCTCAAACTCTCCCAGTCAGCCACTAAATTGCCCGACCTTTGCTGAATGCCCCCAGCTCTCATACTGTGATCACAATCTTGCATTGTTTTCTTTTCTTTCTTTATTTTTTTTTTTGGTGTATGTTGTTCTTTATTTGTTTCCTGGAAGGAAGAGTTATTATCCCATATTACAGCAAATGGTAAACTGCATTAGAGCAGGGACCCTCTGTGCATATCTTTTTTTTTTTTTTGGTGTGGCAGTTGGGGTTAAGTGCCTTGCCCAGAGTCACACAGCTAGTGAGTGTTATATGTCTGAGGGCAGATTTGAACTCAGGTCCTCCTGACTCCAAGGCTGGACCTCTATCCACTGCACCACCTAGCTGCCCCTGTGCATGTCTTTTCATTTCAATCAAAAAACTCCTAAAGTCTATTTAATTGGCAGATTACTATCTCTTTTCTACAAATATCTGTGAGGACAAGGGAGATTCTATCTCAGTAATAAGATTTGCTAGGAGCATCTTGATTAATAGCTGACCCCAAAGACAGCGTATTTCTCCTTTCAGTCTCCCTTTGTTTCTAACATAGCCGGTTTAATGTTTTTGTTTTGTTTTTTTTAGACAATTGGGGTTAAGTGACTTACCCAGGGTCACACAGCTAGTAAGTCCACCTGAGGCTGGATTTGAACTCAGGTTCTCCTGACTTCAGGGCCAGTGCTCTAACCACTGTGCCACCTAGCTGCCCCCAGTTTAATGTTTTTTAAAGTTTACTTTAAAAAACTAATACATTTTGTGTTAACAACAGACACTACCCCACAAAACCCCACACATAAAGTATGTTGCCTGAATAAAACTACTTAATTGGCTTGCGTTACCCATTATTTTCCACTTTTATAATTTTGTTCACAGAAACTTTGAGATAACATCTACAACATACAATTAAAGTTTCATTGCCTTTTTATGTTGTCTTTGTTGTAGTAACATATCCAATTTAGAGGAAACAACTAGCTCGTTTTTTGTTTTTTGTTTTTTTCTCCTCCGTAAAACTCATAAGACTCAGAGCTAACCTGAAAGACAATAATTCTTGATATGTTGTTCCATAAAGTATTAAGTGAAATAAAATTACTATTAAAGCAGATTCAGTTGGATAGACTTTAAACTATCAAACTACTTTAAATTCAGCCTTTTAAGAAAATCTTATGTGTGAGGAGAGGGTTGAATCATTCTGTGGTATTTGGATTTGTTATCTGTTTTCTCTCTCTTTTTTTTTTTTTTTTTTTTGACAGTGAAACCAAATCTCCGAGTATTTAGAGCCCGCTTCTCTGAAATCACTTCCCATGCCGTCAGGTCGGCCTGTCAGCATCTGACTGAGCCTGATCAGAGAGTGAGTGATGCTGTGGATGTGAGGCAGGAATTAGACCTGAGGATAGGTGAGAAGCCCATCCCTTCCTTTTATTTTTCCCATCTGAGATCCATGGTTACAGGCCAGGAATGTCCCAGTCCTATTTTGTTGTCAGGATTTGGGTAATGGTCCATTCTGGGGACATTGAAATATGCCTTTGGTTGAGGAGCCAAAACTAAGCTTAGCAAGAAAATGAAGTGTGCCACTGACCTAGATCTTAACATTCATTATTTTCTTTCCTTTGTTTTACTCCTTTGCTTTCCAGGTGCTGCCTTCACAAGGTTCCAGACCTTAAGACTTCAGAAAATCTTTCCAGAGGTGTTGGCAGAACAGCTGATCAGTTATGGTAGCTGTCAGTTCCCAACGTTGGGATTTGTAGTAGAAAGGTTCAAAGCCATCCAAGCTTTTGTGCCAGAGACATTCCACAAAATTAAAGGTAAAAGAGTTATTTAGGGGTTGGAATGTGCATGATCCAGGTGGGAAAAGAGTTTCAGCAATCATACACCTATGCTTATTGTGTTCAGCTAGTTTGGGATGCCATTTCTCAATGTCAGAAAGTTCTTAAATTTTCTAATCCACAGTCATTTCATTCTCACTTTAATTCAGTTTTGCTTTCTACCCATTTGACTCTAACCGTTTTCATTTTTATCTTTCCCTTTCCTCCCTGCCCTAATGCAGTGACTCATGAGCATGAAGATGGGGTTGTGGACTTCAGCTGGAAAAGACATCGTCTCTTTAATCATACAGCATGTCTCGTCCTCTATCAAATGTGTATGGAGGTAGGAAATCCTTTTAAAATCTCTATGATTCAAGGATAACAAACTGAACATTTTCATAGCTGCTTCCTCTGATTTGGCAGAATGTTTTATGCAGCTGTTACCATGTGACATTACTGCATTTCCTCCCAATCCCTGGGTTCTGCTTTTTTAAGTTCTGCGGATCAGTACATCCCTGCTGATGTTTCAGTGAACCAAGAAAACTGGAACTACATGGAAACAGCTCTAGGGGAGGAAGTGAGAAGGAGAGGGAAGCCCTGCTTCTCTTCCCACAAATTCTTTCTTGAGCTCTCGGGCTGTAGATCAGAGCTTTGGGACTGTCAGAATTTGGGAGCAGATGCTAGAAATCAGAAGTTGCATGTGAAACTCACCTTCCTGAAGTAGGACACATTAAAGACTAGCCAGAATGAGACTGTGGTTATACAGAATGAGATTATAGAATCATAGAGTCGAGATTGTGTAGCTGGAAGAGATCTCACAGGGCATCTGGTTCAGACCTTCTCATTTTACAAAAGAGGAAAGTGAGGCCCAGAGAAATGAAATGAACGTTCCAGTCACATAGCTAGTTGGTGGCAGAGCTAAGTCTGGGACCAAAACCTATATCCACTGCATAAGGGAAAACACTTTTGAAAATGACATGAGTTTTAATTTGAGATATATGCTCTATCCCTTGTCAGTCGGTCAACTAGCATTTGTTAATACCTGCTATGTGCCAGTGCAGGTCCTTCTTCTTTCTATTCTTCTCTCCTCTCCTTTTCTCCTTCCTCTTCTCCTTCTTTTCCCTCTGTCCACATAGGGTATCATACTCTTACCTGCAGATGCTCTGCCAAAGGAGTATACATTTTGATAGCTGAAACTTCCACAAGATATCTTGGAGTTTACTGGCTAGATTTCTTTCTTTCAAGACCTTGCCTTAAACCCAAATCTCTCTGGCCTTCATTGATTGGCCAACAATAGGTCCCAGCCCCAGCCCCACCTGGTCATTGTTTGGGCCCTGATAGCCCCGAGTGAGTGTAAATAGCAACTGTTTCTGTTTTGACCAGAAACCCTAAGGGTTATTATTTCCAGAAGTATTTGTAGAAGTAAAATTAGATGCAAAGAAAGTAAACATAATACATAAGTTGAGCTTCATAATTATCTGCACTCTCTTGGTTTCCTGGGCTGCTATTCTTGGCCTCCATCTGCCCTCAGAAGGCTGGTAGGCTTCAAGCCATCCTGAATTGTCCAGGTTCCTAGCACTGGCTTTCTGGTGTTCCCTCTTATCAGTCTCTGCCCTGCCCCGTGGCTGGACCACCTCTATCATAGCACTGAGAAGCCTTCCAGCCTAATTACCAAAATTGGCTCTGGTAAAAGAACTGGCTCTTTTTGTACAATCCTAGGCTGAATATAGGTGCTTACTGTTGTATTTGGATTTCTTGGTCATGATTTTCTCTGGTGTCCTTTTTATATCCTTGCTGGAGTATATGTGGTAGAGTGGCATTCTTCTTCAGCTTTTCATGTTGTCATTCTGGACTGGAAATATTGAGTTTAAGGTATTTAATGGATATTCTGTTTGAAACATCCCATAGAGATTCAAGAATGGAACTCAAGAAAGAGACTGGGTGTAAATACAGGGTGTCCTTAAAGTTTTAATTCAGTTTTAAGTTTTGTCCCTAAACATCTCAGTGCAGCTTACGCTACTTGGTGACCTCATCAACCTTAACATTCATGAAGACTTTTGGAACACTATACATAGATCCAGCACTTGAACTCTTTCTTTTTGGTTCCTTGCAGTAATTTTTCTTTGACCTGGAACCTCTGGATTTTGAATATGACATTAATTTTAGTCATCTTTCAGGAGATGAGAGGTAGATATGTAGATCTTGGTATAAGCTGCCTAGAGATGATAATTAACCCATGGGAGTTGATGAGGCCCCTCATACTGAGAAAGTGTAGAACAGAAATAGAAGGGGGCCAGAGCACAGACGTGGTACATACTTACATGTAGGGAGTGTGATGTGGATGATAAACCAGACAAGAAAAAGAGTCAGACAGGTAAGAAGAAAGTAATTTCACAGAAAAGTGAGAGAGGAAAGGGTGATGAACAGTTTCAGGGAACGGATCGATAAGGTTGAGGTTTGAGAAAAGGCTATTGGATTTGGTAATTGTGAGATCATTGGTACCATTGGAGAGAGCAGTTTTAGTTGAGTGATGAGGTTATAAACAAGATGTCAGAGGGTTACGAAGCAAGTGAAAGGAGAAATGGAAGCTAAAAACGTAGACATTTTTTCCTGGGAGTTTGACTCTGAAAAGGAGGAGAAAGATGAGACTGTTACTTGAGGAGATTGTGTGGTCCAGTGATTTTTTTTTTTTAAGGATAAGGGGAGACTTAGGTGAATTTGTAGGCAGCAGGGAGGGAACCAGCACCTAGGGAAAGATTAGAGACGGACCAGAGGTGTTGGGGGGTGATGATGAGGAATCATCTGCAGAAAAAGACAGGATGGGATGTGATCAAGGGAGCAGGTAGAAGGGAAAGGATCCTTATCACCTCTTCATCAGGACACTGTAATAAAAGATTCATTTGTTTTTTTCTTCTTGACTTTTCAGGATCCAGTAGCCACAGTGGTAGAAGTTGGATCTAAGCCAAAGAGCAGATGGAGGCCTCTGCCTTTGGATACTGTGGTATGTGGAGTCTAGGTGGTATTAGCTAGCTTTTTAAATGTTAACTTCTGGTTTATTAGATTACTAAGAAGTGGTATTTCACTGTCTTTTTGTAGGGTAGAAATATGATTAAAGCATCACTACTTATGAGAGAGCTAAGTAAATATCACTTGATAGTAACCAGGATCTTTTAATATGGTTTTTCCTTGGATAAGTAGTTCTCAAACACTTTTGATCTAGGGTTGAATCCAAAGGAGTTCGAATTCAGAGTAAATAACAATTGATTGAACTATATATATTCCCCCTGTGTCCTTATGCCTAATATTTTTGTAAAGGTGAATTAAAATAAAACCCAAGACAAATTTGAAAGGAAGAGAAGTCACATAAACATTTAGCCTGAGGAAGTGGGTTAAAAGTAGGGTGGTCTTAGTGATGGTAGGGTGTTATGGATTAATTTCATCTGTGTACATGAACCTCACAATTTTTCAGTGCTAAGTGGCATAGCCACCTCTTTCCCTTGTGGCTGGTGAAGTCTGAAATAACTCAGTAAACAAAAGTATGAACTTGGCTGAGCATATTGGTTTATTAAGCAATGAATGCCAGTTGCATAACAAATCAGGACTAGGGCTCCTCAGCTTGGCACTGGGTCACAGATACAGAGGGAAACAGATTTTTATGCATTAAAAGAAAACAATTTGTAGGAGATGAACCAGGATACAAGATTAGGTAAGGTAATTTCTAATTGGAGGAAAGATTAGGGGCTGTCCAAGTTAGGAGGGGGATTATGAACAGGTGCAATTCCCTGAAATCAGAAAGAGGTGTTCCACTTCCCCCTCCCCCAAAGTACAAAGAACGGTAACTGATTGATCAGAATGGGGTCAGTTTTCAGATAAGATATATGGGTTACTTTAGATGTGTAATTGTGAGAAAACTCCTTGCATTCCTCTTTGGATCTGACTGGGTTTCTGGTCAGCATAACCTGGATCCTTAATTAAGGGTCTCCAAGCAGCAGGTAGGCAGCAGCTTCCCAACCGTTCAGGGCTAATTTCAAATAATGCAATAAATTTTTCTCACTAGACTCATAATTGAATAGAAAAGGAACTGGGACAGCTAGGTAGTACAGGGGATAGAGCACCAGCCCTGGAGTCAGGAGGACCTGAATTCAAATTCAGCCTCAGACACTTACTAGCTGGTATGACCCTCGGCAAGTCACTTAACCCGGATTATCTCCCAAAAAGGTGGGGGGCAGGGGAGAAAACTGAGCTAGATCCAGAATTGAGTCACAAAATGGAGTCATTTGGTTCACACAATTCTCTCACCCTACAACTGTACACACAGAGCATGTTGCCGAAGTCTGTCTCCTAACGTTCTGGTTCTTCAGGTCATCCTCATTCAGGCTCCCACCTTAGATTCAAACAACATTCCCATAATTTCCCAAAGTAAAATTAGATGCAAAGAAAGTAAACATAAGTTGAGCTTCATAATTATCTGCACTCTCTTGGTTTCCTGGGCTCCTGCTCTTGGCCTCCCTGCCCTCAGAAGGCTGGTAGATTTCAAGCCATCCTGAATTGTCCAGGATCCTAACACTGGCTTTCTGTTGTTCCCTCTCATTAGTCCCTGCCCCGCCCCGGGGCCGGACCACTTCTGTCATAACACTGACAAGCTTTCCAGCCTATTTACCAGAGTTGGCTCTTTTTGTACAGTCCTAGGCTGGATTGTACAAACCCTCACTTAGAGTCTTTTTTTTTTTTAAGTTCACATTTATTAGCCTTACTGAGTTCCACTTCTTCCTCCAATCTCCTTGTGTAACTTGAAAAAGGGAAAAAGTCTTGTAACAAATAATCAAAGGAAAGCAAAATCACATGTCCACACTGTCATTACAAAAATGTATGTCTCATTCTTCATCTGAGTCCCATTCTAGTTCTCTTCGTTGAAATCTGTTGTTGTTCTATAAACATTCTTTTTTGTAATTGTGTTCATATAGTTCCTGGGTATGTCTTGGCAAGTATAAGCATTCTTCTTTTTTTTTTTTAATTGACATATCTTGTTTTTCTTTCTTTCTTTCTTTCTTTTTTCCTTTTGTCAAGGCAGTTGGGGTTAAATGACTTGCCCAGGGTCACACAGCTGGTAAGTGTCAAGTGTCTGGTCTGAGACCAAATTTGAACTCAGGACCTCCTGACTCCAGGGCCAGTATTCTATCTACTGTGCCACCTACCTGCCCCGTATCTTGTTTTTCTGATAACTTCATTGGCAAGTGTAGCCCTCTCTCTGTCTCTACTGAGTTGTCCCCTATAATAAAAAATAAGAAAGTGAGAGAAAAAAAGTAATTCAGCCAAATTAACCAACACAGCAACTGAGTCTGGTGGTATATGTGCTGTTCAACATCCCGTAGTCCATGGTTCCACTCCAGGAAGGTCAAAGACAGACAAAAAGGCACACAAAATCTAAAAGCATTCTTAAGTAATTTTCCTGTATGTGTGTGTTTTATCTTCCTGCTAATCCATAAGTCTCTTGCAGACAATTGCCATAGCTTCTTTCTCTGTTGTATCTTCTATATAAGTTTTATATTTAGTTTCTTCAGTGTCACTTACTAATAAGTTTGCTTTGAAATTTTATCAGGAATGGAACATTGGGGTTTCAGACAAGGCAGAGTATTGCTGAGAGGTGGTTTATGGCCTTAGTATGTAGTCTGTTTCCTTCTTTCCCTGTGAAACTTCTTTGCCTTCCACTGATTCACCTTTCTTTCTGAATTAGAACTTTCCGTCTTCCTTTCTCATTTTCCCTGTTAAAATAGTTGTAAATAAAATTTCTTTTTTAACAAGCATATAACACAAGCTTCAATTACTTCCACTTCTTCCCCCTCAGCCCCGTCTATAGAAATTTGTCTAGTCTTGAAGATTTATAGTTTAACTGTTAGCAAGAGAACGTTAACTATCACAATTGGAAAAGCCTGCATTAATCATGGAGAAAAAAGACTAAATATTCTTTCCTGGGAGACTTGAATGAGTAAACTCATTTTTGAGATAGACTGAAGAGATGTTTCCTGAGATAACAGAGATTAACTGTTATCCTGTGCATCAGATAACTGGGCAAAAATACACTAAAAAGAATTCTGGGAAGAATTTGCTCTACTGAGAGAACTGAATGGTGGGGTTACCTTTCCAGTTTCTGTGGAGAAGTCAGTGGTTGCAGTTGATGATTATAAGTAACTCTGAATGTGATCTTTCTCATAGCTGATACACTGTTTTAATTATAAATATGCCTTTGTATTATTTGTGATACTGTTAATAAATTCTATAGCCAATAAAATTGTCTAAAAAATAGTAAGTTTGTGATGCTACATATCCATATCAGAAAATTTTAATAGGTTCTTTCAATTTTCAGACGGCATGGTCCCAAGTTGTCATCCTTCTAACTTTCTTCAAATGAGTAGTGCTTTTTATTTCTCCGTGCTTACAAGCATAGGAAAGTGATAGCTGCAAGGATGTTGATTAAACGGACTATCTTTCAAGGTTGAATTTTCTAGCTATTTTACTCTTGATTTATGCAGTGGTTCCTAATGTGAAATTTTTATTCATGTAACAGGAACTCGAGAAATTGGCTTCTCGAAAGTTGAAGATAAATGCCAAAGAAACCATGAGAATTGCTGAAAAGCTCTATACTCAGGGGTAGGTATTCTGGATTAAAGAGATAAGGTTTAGCGTACCTTTACAAGAACTATATATTTAAGAAACAAATCTTACGGTAAAACACCAAAAGGCCATCTGGTTTTCACAGCAACTCTCATGTAGAACTGAAAATGTAGGTTTTACTTGTTATTTACCTTTTCTACTCACTTTACATACACTACTGTACATAAATGTTGTTATTTAACCAATTGTAATAGAACTTGAGGGAGCAAGTGTATATTTTATCCTAATCAGGCTTAGCTATAGAATCATAGCATTTCAGAACTTAAAGCCTTTGCATAGGCTGTCCCCCGTGTATCCCTGAAATGTTCTTCATCCTCCCCTTTATGTCCTGGAATCTCTGGCTCCCCTTAGACATTGCCTTTCTTGATCTCCCTAGGTGTTAGCTGTCTCACCCACCCCCACTCCCAAGATTACTTTGGATATATTTTGTATGTATTTACCTGTGCGTGTGTTAACTCTTCCTCCTTCCTGTAGAATATAGAGACTGGTTTGTTTTTGTCTTTGTGTTCCCGGTCCCTAGGACAGTTTGTGGTATATATTGAGTCCTTAATAACTGCTTGTTGAATTGAATTGAATTGTTAAGAGATATTTCTTCACCTGAAAAATGAGGCTGTTGAAGGGTTCGGTGGTGGAATGGAAACATCCTTGGATTAAGAGCCTGGGTTTGAGTCCGGCAAGGTACCTGCGCAGCTGGCTGACCTCTCCTGTAGAATGGAAGTGGTGGTTTAGATGAGGAGTTCTTAACCTGGGATCTCTGACTTTGTCTTTTGATAACTGTATTTCAGTGTAATTGGTTTGCTTTGCAAACTGATGTTTCTTATGCATTTAAAAACATTATTCTTTTTTTTTGTTGTTGTTGTTGTTGTTGTTGGGGCAATCAGGATTAAGTGACTTACCCGGGGTCACACAGCTAGTGAGTGTCAAGTATCTGAGACTAGATTTGAACTCAGGTCCTCCTGACTCCAAGGCCAGAGCTCTATGCACTGCACCACCTTGCTGCCCCTAAAAACATTATTCTTTGAAGGGGTCTTTAGGTTTCGACAGATTGCCAGAGTGCTCCATGAGACAAAAAAATAAGAACCTCTGGACTCGATCGTCTTTAAGGCCTGTTCCAGCTCTCTAGTACTAAATCACAGAGAGGTTAAGTGACTGGCCAGAATCACAGTTGGTATCCAGGCTGAAAATGTGGGCCGGTGATCCTCCCTTGCTACTATCAATTGTGTTTTCTGCTATCACCTGTATTTCTAAGCTATCCTTTACTTATTTGAGTGAGATGACTTGATGAAACACCTACTGCTTTTCACCACATTAGGAAACTGTATCCCAGAATCACTGGGATTTTGGGCCTACCTGGATGTCCTACTGACACTAAACTTGTCTAGTGTTAATATATCTTTTCCCTAAAAAACATGTTCCTCCTTTGTACCTGCCTCTTTCTGCCTTTGGCACTACCATTTGCCTACCTTCCACCTCCAGCGAGTTGCAAGTCTTATCAATTCTACTTCCACAATATCTCATATCCGTTTCTCCTTCTCTGCTTCCACCTAGTTAGGTTCTTATTATCTGAATTGTTGTTATAGCCTTCTGAGACTTCTTGCTAGTTCTACTCTCTCTCCTCTCTAATTCATTCTTTATATGATGCCAGATTATTCTTTCTCATGCACGTATCTGATTGTCAAGTCCTCTACTTAAAATCCTTCACTGGTTTTAGTCTTCTTTTTTCCAGTCCAGATATATTGTTTCATCAGTTGTAGGGAGCTTCCCCATGAGGGTGCTTCCTCTGCCAGTGCGGATTAGTAACTGTTCTCCAGCTCTTTAATCTTAGAGGGTTGCTTGGGGCAGTGCTGGAAAATTGAGAGGTTGAGTGACTTGCTTAGGGTTACTTTGTAGATAGGTATCAAAGATAGGATTTGAACTTAGGTGGTTTTTTAAAAAGTAGTATTTTATTTTTTCCAATTACATATAAAGACAATTTTCAACATTCATTTATTGAATGATTGGAACTTTTAAATTTTTCTCCCCCCCCCATCCCCTCCCTCTCTCCCTCCCCAAGATGGCAGGTAATCTGATATAGGCTATATATGTGTAATCATGTAAAACATATTTCCACATGTTGTAAAAGAAGAAACAGAAGAAAAGGAAAAAAAACACACACACACACAAAGTGAAAATAGTATGCTTTGATCTGCATTCAGACTATCAGTTCTTTCTCTAGATGTGGATAGCGTTTTTCCATCATGAGTCTTTTGGAATTGTCTTAGATCACTGTATTACTGAGAAGAGTTAAGTCTATCAAAGTTGGTCATCGCAAAGTGTTACTATTACTGTGTACAGTGTCCTGGTTCTGCTCATTTCACTCATCATCAGTTTATGTGTCTTTCCAGATTTTTCTGACATCTGCCTACTGATCATTTCTTATAGCACAGTAATATTCCATTACATTCATATACCACAACTTGTGAAACCACATTGATGGGCATCCCCTCAATTTCCAATTCTTGGCCGCCACAAAAAGAGTTGCTATAAAAATTTTTGTATATGTAGGTCCTTTTTCCTTTTTTATGATCTCTTTGGGATACAGATCTAGTCGTGATATTGCTAGATCAAAGGGTATGCAGAGTTTGATTGCCCTTTGAACAAAGTTCCAAATTATTCTCCAGAATAGTCTGATCAGTTCACAACTCTACCAATAATGCATTAGTGTTATAATTTTCCCACATTTCTCCAAC